GAAATTCTGCGATGAGTTTTATTATTTATGAAAATAATTGAATTCTTAAAAGAATTTTATTAATTATGAAAATAATTGAATCACAGTAAAAATTTTATTATTCATACGAAAATAATTGAATCCCCGTAGAAATTTTATTATTTATGAAAACAATATTGAATGATTGCGAAGAAATTTATCAAAAAATTTGATAATAATTGAATTTCTTCGAAGAATTTATTATTTTTGAAAATAATTGAATTTTTGGGAAGAATGTTATTTAAATTTTTATTTATAAAAATAATTGAATATCTTTGAAAAATTTTGCTGTTTCTCAAAGTAATTGAATTTTTTCAAGAATTTTATTAAAAATTTGAAAAATAATTGAATTTCTAAGAAGAATTTTAATATTTATAAAGATAATTAAAATTTTGATGAGAATTGTTAAAAATTTTTGAACATAATTAAATTTTGGAGAAGAATTTTATGACTTTTGAAATTAATTGAATTCCTAAAAATAAATTTATTATTTACAAAAATAATTGAATCTCCGTAAAAATTTATAAATAATAAAATTGCTGTGAAATTTTTATTATTTTTTGAAACTATTAAAAGTTTGTGTAGAATTTTATTAAATTTTTGTTTAAATAATTGAATTCTTTTGGAAAATTTGATGAAAATAGTAGATATTGAAAATCATTGATAATTGAGGAAAATTTTTGAAAATAATTGAATTTCGGAGATGAATTTAATTATTTCTAAAAATAATTGAAATTTTGACGAGAATTTAAAAAAAATTTTGAACAAAATTGAATTTCTGCGAAGAATTTGATGACTTTTGAAAATAATTGAACTTTTGCAATCATTTCTAACTTTTTCAAAATTTTCAAAATTATATCGTACAGTTTACGAACTTTTCATCCTTTTTGAATGAAATTACGGACTTTACGGGATTTACGGACCTAGTTTGAGCCCTGAAATTGTGTAAAGATTTAAATGTCCCGATTAAATAAATATTTAACAGTATTTATTTATTTATTTATTTATTTATTTATGATAAGAAATAGATAAACTTTGGGTAATTTGTACTCATTAGTTACATTGTAAGGCATTAGACAAGAATAATAATAAAGAAATGAAAATTTTTCATTTAGATGTAAACAAAAGTGTCAGCAGAGTTTATGAGTAGTGTAATGATTGTGTCATCATACTATGCGGTAATAATTTAAATCAAGTTCGCAAAAGCGACGTGATGACTTGATCCATTCTTTTTTCATGCAATTTTTTGAGTGAGATTCATTTCTAAATAATAATAATATACAGCATACAATAGTATGCTCAGACGAGTTGACAACAAATAACTACATGATGAATGGATGTTACTTTAATTTAATTGTATATGTTTATATTTCACATTACGTGCCATTTGTTGTTTGATTATAAATGTTAAACACATGTTAAGTGCTAGGTGATGAAAATTTTTATTTTTTGCTCAAGTTCGCCTATTCACCTTATATGTATATATATGACCTAAATATTTTAACTTTGCTTTTGTTTCTTTACTTGCTTTTGACCCTTTTGACCAAATTTTTAAGTCTTATTTATTCTGAATCTTCCAATTTTGGTCTAAATTTTGAAGTTTACTTGTTTATCTTGAGTTAAAACTAAAGGTTATGTTAAATTATTAACCTTAATTTTTATCTTAATCTAAATATGTAGTTAAATTATTTATTGGAATAAATTTCGAACTAAATCTGAAGGTTAAGTTTGCTTATTGACAAAAATTTTGTTCTAAATTTTAAGGTTAAATTCCCCTTTAATTTTTCGTTCGCCCCTTTATTTGTGACCTAAATTTTAATAAAAAAATTAAAGAATTATTAGGAATGTGATTTACGAATTGTTATATAAATTTTAATGTTTGGTTTCTGGATCCTCGAATTTACTTTGTTCTCTTTAAATTTGAATGAATAGTGAAAAATCAATTTAATTAATTTAAATTAGTGTGAATTTCCACATAGAAAAGTAAAAAAAAAGTAAATTCAAAATTGAGACACAAAAAATTAAAAAGGATCATTGTTTACTTGTGATGAAAATTTTTTATTGATGGAGTGCGATAAGTTTTTCTTTTACCGTTATGAAATTATTGAGAGAAAACGGAGCGAGTACAGAATGATCGATTTTCAATAGTACAAGTTGCAAGATTTCTCTACTGTGCAAAAGGGACGAGTTTGTAAATAGAAATGGGATTTTATTTTTCTTTGAAAGTCCGCAGTGCAAGTCATTATGTCATCAATATATTTACGACCCACAGTAGCTCGTAGCTCGACCAAACCTGTGGCAATCAGTTTATCGTTGAACTTGAACGTTACACTCTAGTGCTAGTAGTACAACTGGTATAGGAATAAAGTCGACTATCCTTATTGCCAAAGGCAAAACCTCTAAAATTAGACCTCGTTAAATTCTACTCGCAGGATGCGTTTTAGTTTAGAAATTGCAGTGTACTTTGAAAACGGGTTTATCTTTTTTTAAATTTCCTCATTAGACAGTTATTTAGTTTGTCCAGGATCAGTATTCTTATGGAACTAAAAGAAAAATCGTTTTTCTATATGAATTAGAATTTAAAGAAAAAAAATGTTAAATTGGTGTAGAGAGTTTTTCTCTTTTTATGCTATGCAATTTTTATAAAAATTGAAAAACTCTTTTATAAGAGAAAATTTTTTGCAAATGAATGAATTTTTCGGAAAATTTAGGTTTTACATGTCATTTAAATTTAAGCTATAAGTTATTTAAACAATTACAATTATTATTTTCATTATTTTTATCGTTTCATAGTTTAGGCCAAAAAATCAAAATTGCATCCTTTTTTAAATTAAAATAATTTTGAAGACAGTTTTTTTTTAATTTGTCATCATATTATATTTATTATTATTATAATAATTGTCTCGACGTTTCGATGATAGCCACCATCTTTTTCAAGAGAAAATATTCTAAAATTTGAATTGTTTGGAAACTTTCTAATTGTATATAATTGAAAAACTATTATTTTTAAAAAATTATTGTAAAATATATTTTTAAAAAATTAATTTTAATAATTTCCTTATTAGAATTTTTTGAAAATATTAAAACCCTTACAAATACATGGACAGATACAATCATTATAAAAAATTGAATTTCTGTATTTAAATAATTAAAAGAACTTTCGGGAAATTAAAAGAAAATTTAATTGCGATTTAGTGATTAAGTTTAATTAAAATATTGTAGAAAATAATTGAATTTTGCAAGGATTGTATATTTGTAACTTAAAGGAAGAATTGGATAAACAAGCAACCAATAATAAATTTTCTGTAAAATAATTTTATTCGTAACAAATAATTATTATTAAATATATGACAATCATTTGTGACAATGAAAATAAACGGTTATTTAAATCAATGACAATATGAAAAAGCTTATTTGCCGCATTTATTGCGAAACGATTGTTTAAGATTCGATGTAAAATCGCTTTTTTGTTTATTATAATATAAAGATTCTTATTGTATAATATTTTTTTTATTTTAATATATATTTTTATTACAATATGAATTTATTTTTTTATTATTCATTATAATTTATATTTTTGTATAGATTTCTAAAATAAATTTTCTAAATTCCCTTTTAAGGCACAAAAGTAAAATTATTGCATGTTTGTAAATTATTATTTAATTATATTGTTATTTTAAGACTATTATTAATTTAATTAATAATAATAATAATAATAATGTTATAATAATAGTGTAAAAAATAATAATATTATTTTACAGTAATATCGAAATTTCATTAATCGTCAATTTGTTTACAGTAAAATTTCATACAGTTAATAATTCTCAATTTACAATAAATTTTTTATTCAATATTACCGCAAATTGACTAATTTACAAATAAGAATTTATAAAAAAAACTTATTAATTTACACTAAAAATAAGTAGGTATAAAGCTTTACTTTACAATATTTTATTTATTTACTTCGTAACTATCTCTCTTGTAATGTCTAATTTCTTTCAATTTTTTTTAATTTTCTTTTTTCCTGTGTTTTTTATTTTTTTATTTTATGTAAATGTTTAACAAGTTATAAACTTATTATTTTGAGGCTCTTAGGAAATCACTTTTTTATATAAATTAAACGTGTCCGATCATTGCAATCTTTTTCCTCTCATGTTGTCATGCTATATAATATTAAATATTGTTCAAAAAATTTTATTTATTTCTATATAAAAAAGCCCAAAACTACACACATTTCACTTCTGGCAAGACAGAAATTCATTTCTGCTTTTATATTATTACTATTATTATTAAGAAAAAAAATCGTTTATGAAATCTTTGTTATAAAGTTTTTCGTTCCCATTGCATTGCATTTCTTTACCACTCTTTCTCTCTAAAACTCACAGCCATTGATAGACGAATTGTCAAAAACAATGATAAAGCACAAATTTTTATGGAATTAAGGCCCCATTGTGGAAGAAAAGAGTTAATAGTTTTTTTAGTTTCAAAAGGCACAAAAAAATTTGCCAAATTTGTATATTTTAAAATTAAATTGGAAATAAATTTATGAATTGTAAATTTATTTTTTTGGCATTGGCGAATATTTCTTTTGAAATAATGGCCAATTTGGAAAATTAACTTAAATTTTTTTAATTAAAATTAGAAACTTATTGTTTTTTAAAATGAAAAATAAATATTTTACAGTATTTAATTATTTATGTTAAAATTACAAAAACTTTAGAATTATTGTGAAGAATAAGAAAAAGTACTAGTACCCTCAGTAATTATCATTCTCTCTGCTCCCTTAATTAATGATAAATAAATTAATTACATTATGTTTTATAAAAAAATGATTCTCATTAAAATTTGCATAAAAAAGTATGCAAAAATATAAAAAAATTGCCCTTTTTATAAATTATCTAGCGAGATCTTTTGAGATTTTTTTTTCATTTAAATTCTCGTTAATTTTTTTTTTCTTTTTGGGAAAATTTTTTAATTTTCCATTTTCTTTTTTCTGTTGTTGTTGTTGTTATTATTGTTATTTCTTTAAGGCATTCTTTTTGTGTATAAAGAGCAAAATTCTCGAAAAAGTAATCATTTTTTCCATAAAATCGGAATTTTTTTTGTAAAATTATCGAGCACTTCTTAGCTTCCAACGTAGGAAGAGATAAGCGGAAATTCTCAGAACAACAAAAATTAACAGTAGAGCAAGAATATCGAGCATGAAATCCGCGTCCAACATGTCCAAATTTTCTAGTGTTGTTTTTGGATCCTTGAAATGGCAATAGATCTGTGAAGAAAAGGAAAAAAAATTAAATTATTACAATTACTACAAAATTAAATTATTTTCAAAAATTTTACTTAATTCATAATTCAATGATTTTCAATATTTACTATTTTAATAAAATATTACAAAAGAATTCAGTTATATTTAAAATAAATTAGGGTTAAATTCTACGTCAACATTCAATTATTTTCATAAATAATAAAATTCAGTTTCGAAATTTAATTATATTCATAAATAATAAAACTCATTGTAAAATTTCAATTATTTTTCATATAATTTTAATTGAATTCCTCCAAAAATGCAATTATTATTTTTAAAAACAGTATTAAAATTCGTTGAAGGAATTCAATTTTTTAAATATTTGTATTTTTTTGATAATATTTATTTAATTGAATTAAAAACAATTGATATCTTGCAAAGAATTTTACTATTTATATAAAAATAATTGAAATGTTTCGAAAGAATTTATTAAAATTTTAAGAAATACAATTAAATTGTTATGAAGAATTTTATAGAAATATTTGATAATAATGAAATTTTTTCGAAGGATTTATTAAAATTTTAGAAAATAATTGAATTCTTTCGTGAAATGTTATTAACATTTTTGAAAATATGAACAGTAATAATTAATTTTATACATAATAAGTGAATTTTTTAAATTTTGCTTATGAAATTATTTAAAAAATTTATATTTGAAAATAAAAAATTTTGTAATTTGCATAACAATAATAAATTGAATAACATTTGGTACCTAGTAAGTAATAATATAATATACAATCTATCTAAAGATACCAAAAAACAAAAATATAGACATAAACAAAAGACAACTTGACATTGTGTGAGGGACAGAAAAAGTGAATGAATAAAAGAAGATTCAAATTATTATAGTTGATTATTAATTTTAATGATTAATTTTTCATTTAAATTTAGAAGGGGAGAAAAGAGTAATATAAATTAATTAATTCTTGATTGATTCTTGAAGTATATATAAATCATTACTCATTACCTGGTAGCATTTTAATTTCGCCCGATCGGCATAAGTGGCGAGGGCAGTTCCTTCGAAGCCATAACGAATATAACTGAGATAAGTGATCCATCTGAGATAAACGGGTATTGCATCGAAACTGACGAAAAATCCTGAGAATAATAGGAAAGGAACCGACATCACTGGAGCGAGAAATACACCATTTTGAACGTTCATTGCCGCTCCAACGACTAGACCCACCGATTGTGCAACGAAGGAAATTAATAAACAGGCCGAAAGGAACATGCTGAATCTCGATAATTCAGGCAATTGGCTCGTTAGGAAGTAAACTATCGTCACGTAAATAACGCAAAAGATAGCCTGGAATAAATAAACAAACATTTTATTAGGTATTTTATTGAAATTTTATTGAAATTCCGCAAAAGAGGGAAAATTAAATTTTAATTTATTTCTCTTTACCTGAAAGGGAATATCAGAAACGGTGATTGCCAAATAGTAGGCTTTCAGCGAATACCATCGATTGAAATTTTCTTTTAGAAGAACAGGCATTTCCAGAGGAACTAAAAGATTTAAATTTAAAAAATTAAAATATTTAATTGGAAATAATAAGAATATAAAAAAGGGATTTATAATTAAACACTTACACGAGAGAATGGTAATTGTCATTGAAGTGTACATGAGAAAGAGCATGTTGAAGAAAAGAAATCCAAGATTACTGAGTACTTTTGCGCCATCGTTTCCGATGTCGTAGTAAAGAGCGCCAATTAACAAACCAACGAGGATGTGGGCAAAGAGCCTAAGATACATTAGTGTCTGAAATTGAAGAATTCAAATTCAAAATTTAATTAATGCGAAATTTTAATTATAACATTTTTTAATTTTATAGACTATAAAGTTAATTTATATTTTTTTACCCAATCTCTCCGGCTGAAGAGCAGCGTTCTCTTGAGAACAATCCAAAATTGTGTAAATTCTGAGGTTGGATATCTTTCCGGAGTTACGACAATTGTCTCGTCCAAAAGATTAATGTTATCCTTCTTTTCTACATCGAGACTTATCGATACATCATCTGGGAGATAGAAATTTATGTAATTAGTATCAATATTTATAGACTCGACAGGAAAAATTATACTCAATTAGGTATTTTCATAAATAAACAAATTTTCACTGGAATTCAATTATTTAGAATTATCCACATATTTTTCGAAAAAAAATCAATTATTTAAATAGATTTTTATAAAATTCTTCGTAAGAATTCAATTATTTTTGTAAATAATAAGATTCTTCTCAGGAAATCAATTTTTAAAAAAATTTTAATAACATTCTTTGCCAAAATTCAATTCAATTCAATTCAAGATTTCAATTACTTTTGTAATTTTCAGAAATAGTTAAATTTCAAAAATGTGTTACATTGAAATCATTTGAAATATTTTAGTTCCTGTAAACAAAATAAATTATAAAAAAAATTGAGTCATCAAGTTTAATTTTTTGATAGCTACTTTTTTACTATACCTACGAAGAGAAAATTATATTAAATTTTGTAAAAGTATTTCACAATTTGGGAAAAAATGCGACAAATTGAAATTTTGATATAAAAAATACTAAACTTTATATAAAAACTTATGTGAAATTTAGTATAATTTCGGTTTGTTGCACTTTTTCCCAAATTGTAAAATACTTTTACAAAATTTAATATATATTTTCTCTTCGTGTACTTTTTTTCTATCTTTAAGCTACTTTTTGTTACTTTTTAAAATTTAATTATTGAGTACGAAGCCTGATGTTAATAAAAAGAAAAAAAAAAGTATTAAATTAAAATATTATCAGTATTAAAAAAATGAAGTTACTAACAAAATAAATCTTTTATTCAAATAATCTTTATAAATATAAAGATTTTTTTTAACCACAACTTACGTTTATAACTCTGATATAATAGAATTGAAATATATTCAAAAATAAATTATACAGTTCATAGAAAAAAAATATTAAAAACCAACATGTGGTATTTAGAAAAAAAGGAAAAAAAAACTTATACACAAGACAAAACAAAACAAAACAAAAGAAAAAAACTTGTGTGATTAACGACTTTTGTTGAAAATAAAAAATTTTTTATATGCTTATATGTAGTAGTAGTAGTAAAAGTAAAACGTACTTTGCTTAGCAATGTCGTTGCTTGCGTAGTTTGGAATCATTCCATTACTCTCATTTGTTTTTCTATCCTGAAACTTGTCTTCAATATTATTTGCGTCATTCTTGTCCTTGATTTCAGTGATTTTTGCGCCAATTTCCGTATCCTTTGGTATCTCTGACACTGCCAACGAATTATTTAATGCTTCTTTTTCGTCGGAAAACGAATAGCCACGGCGAACGTCTCGTTTACCATTTTTAATTGCATTCACTAGGTTTTTTATGTTGTTTCCATATTCACCACAAGACACCTCAATTACTGGAAAAAAGAACAATTTTTATGAGAAACTTTCTTTTACGAGATATCTTTTAATTATACACCTTGGAAACCTGGAAAACATGGAAAACCTGGAAAAGTCAGGGAATTTTCATCGAAATCCTGGAAAATTGTTTTCTAAAGTTATTGTGCTGTTTATTCTTGAAATCTAATTTCAATTCATTATTTCAAAATTAATTCAATTTTAAAAGAATTGCATTTACAATTTTCATAAGTAGATGAACTTTAAAAGATTTTGATTAAAGAGTTTGTAAAATTTCAATTTTAAATGAATTTAATTAGAAATATAAAAAAACTTAAATTTAAAAAAAAAATTTAAACTAAAATTCTTCTGAAATTAGTTAAATTTTTTGATATATATTTAACTAGTTTTATTAAAAATAATGGATTTATAAAAGAATTTTAGTTAAAAACACTAAAACAAATTGAATTTTGAAGCAATTAGAAATGATTGCAGAAATTCAATTATTTTCAAACGTATAATAAAATTCTTCTCAGAAATTCAATTATTTTATAAAATAATAAAATTCATCGCAGGATTTCAATTATTTTAAATAAAATTTTAATTAAAGTTTTTTGAAATAATTTAATTTTTTAGATTTTAATAAAATAAATTCTTCCCAAGAATTCAATTATTTACATAAATAATTCTTCGAAAGAATTCAATTATGTCGATAATTAACAAAACTCTTTCCGAAAATTAAATAATTTTTAGGCATTTTAATAAAATTCTTTGCAAAATTGACTTATTTTCATAAATAACAATATTCATCGCAAGAATTCAATTATTCTTAAAAGTAATAAATTTCTTTTTGGAAATTCAATTATTTTAAAAAATTCTAATAAAATCGTTCGCAAGAATTCAATAAATTATTTTCATAAATAATAAAAAGCTTTTTAGGACTTTAATTATTTTTAAAAAATAATTAATAAAATGCCACAAAGCCATTCAATTTTTCTCAAAAATTTTAATGGAATTCTTTGCTACAATTATTTATTTATTAAAATTTATGTATTATTTTCAATACATTTTTAATTAAATTTCTTTAAAGACTAAAATTATTTTTAAAAATTTTAATGAAATTCTTTGCGGAATAATTCAAATTTTTTTCAAAATAATTTTAATAAAATTCTTTGCAGAAATCCAATTATGTTTAAAAATTAACAAAAATTTTCCTCAAAATTTCAATTATCTTTATAAATAATAAAACTTTTCTCCGAAATTCAATTATTTTCAAAACTTTTAATAAAATTCTTGTCAGAATTTCAATTATTTTCAATACAATTTTCATCAAATTTCTCGAAAAATGCAATTATTCTTAAAAATTTTATTAAAATTTGTCAAGAGAATTCAATTATTTAAAAATTTGTTGATAACATTTTTTTTAGGAAAATTCAATTGTTTAAGGGCATTTGAATTATTATGACGTTACAATTTTAGAACGCATTCTTTGCACAAACTGTGACGTCATAATGATTCAAATGCCCTTAGTAAAATATTTATTTTATAGTTAAATAATTGAATTCTCGTAGAAAATTTTCTGATAAATATTGATTTAAAATTGAATTTCAAATTAAAATCTTTGAAAATTTGAACGTTTCATATACTTTTAACCTGGAAAAGTCAGGGAATTTGAAAAGGGAACAAATTTTGACTCCTAGGGGAAAAAATGCCCTTTTTCTCCCCCCGGAGTCTTTTAAGAATTTTTTTAAGACTTGAAATAAATTGACTAATATTTAAAAAAAATATTTGTAATTTTTTTCTAACTTATAAATTGTTGTTTACTTACTGAAAGATGCCGGATTGTGATAACTGGGACAATTGAGATTGAGACTTTTTAAAAATGGAACTAATTGTGATGTGCAGCCTTGATAAACACATTGTCCCTCCGCCAAAGTATAAAGAGAGTCAAACATTTCAAAAAGTCTTGCGCTGGGTTGATGAATAGTGCAAATAATTGTTCGTCCCCCACGTGCCAAGGTTTTTAATAACGAAATACATTGAAAGCAGGAAGATGAATCCAAACCACTAAAATCAAATTAACAATAATATATTCAAATTCAAGGTTTATGACTTGTGACATTATTTCTCTTTTTAGAAAAAAACGCGATTAAAAATTCATTCAGAAGAGGCAAAAAGAAAACAATAAATAACCGCGGAAGGTGGCCATGAATTTTTTTTAAACTTCTTAAAATGTCTAAATTTTTATTTACGAGTTTGTGACAAAAGTTCAAGACTTTTTCAAGTTGTTAATGTTATTTCCGTTTTTTAAATAGGAGGGGAGTTTTTGTGTAAAAAAATCAAAATAGTTAAAAATTGAAAAGGTTTAGTGAAACCGCATTCAAGGATGGAAAAGTGCATTTTATGTTACGGGCGATTAGTAGATTGCTTGATTGCACCAAACAATCTCTGGTTATCCTTGGAAATCAGAAGGCAATTTCAGAGTCTCTCGATCGTAAATTTTTTTAATTTTAACTATTTTTTTCTTTTGTATATAAAAAATTTATATAACGAAATAGAAACAACTGATTGGAAATTATTACCATTATAAGACTATAATTAAACATTTGAAAGTAAAGACTAATTTTCTTAAAAATCAAAAATGGAAAATTTTACCTACAAATTTGTAAAAAAAATTTTCGGGTTATTAATTATGGTTTTTTCGTTTCGAATGTCTATTTCGACATAAATGAGAAAGTTGTGGCGAACGAGATTACGAGAAACGTTCTGAAACTAAAACTACGCCTGAGAATTCTGCAAAATGCATAATTTTACTCCAACTACTAGTTTAGAATACTAATAATCGAAAAATGACTCAATTTCAACATATATTATTTTTCTTCTCGACAGTTTTTTTTAATGGACAATAACTGTTCGCATTAAAACAGAGAGAAAAAATGTTTGATTGCCTCTTTTTTTTAAATATTCTCACTTTCTTCATTTGAAAATTTACATAGTTTCAAAATTCAAGACAAAGAACAAACGTCAGTTATTTTTTTCATATTCAAATTCTCATTCCTTTTTGAGAAAATTTTATCCAATTATATTATAATTTAATCGTTTGCAGGCGTAAATAAATTACTATTAATTTGTTATTGGAAATTTTCTTAATAACGTTTTTTTTTAAATTTAAATTACAGTTAAGGTAAATGTACATAATTACGTGCTAGTACATAATTCCGCTATCTTTGCAAAATTTAATTATTTTTAAAAACTTTTCCTAATTCAATGATTTTCAATATCTACTATTTTCATAAAATTTCCAAACAGAATTCAATTCTTTACATGAATAATAAAAATTTTTCAGGAATTCAATTATTTAAATTGGAATTTGGATAAAATGAGTCGAAAGAAATGAATTATTTAAAAAATTTTATAAAATTCTTCGCAAGAATTAAATTATTTTAACAAATATTTAAATTAGATATTAATATAAAATCAGAAAAATACTTTTTTTTTGAGTATGAAAATTTTTTCAGTAGTGTAATTTTTTTTGCATGGAATATTTACCTAGTTGGCTCGTCGAAAAACATGATAGGTGGATTATTAACTAGTTCTAGTGCGATGGAAAGTCTTTTCTTTTGACCGCCACTTAAATTCGAGGTCATTGTTTGCCGATGATCTGATAATCCTAGAGTGTCAAGAATTTCCTGAATCTAAAATAATGAAAACGATATTAAAAACAATAAAACAGGGAATTTACATTTTTACGATTGGAATTAATTTTTTTTTTTATTTAGAATTATTCCAAAGTTGGAAATAATCTAAAAGGATTTTAAAATTAAAGTAAATAAATATTTAAAATTTTTAAATTAAGCTAAATGAATATAAATTAAAGTAAATAATTAAAAATGCTAAAATAAAATGGAACAAAAGTTATCATTTTTGCTTTAAAATTGAAATTTTAAACTAAAAATCATAACTTTTGTTCCAAAATTAAAAACCTAAGGAGATTTTAATTTAAAGTAAATAAATGTAAATTAAAGTAAGTAATTAATAATGTAAAATGAAATCTTCAATTTTAAAGATAAAAAAGTATGAAATGAGCAAAAATGATCTTTAATTTTATTTAATTTCTTACTTTGAAATTTTAGTATCTGAGAAATTTAAAAAATAATTTTCACCGCTTGGGAGAAGTGCTATGTAGTGTAGAAAACGGTAAATGTAATATTTACAGTGATCTTACCATTTCTTCTTTCTCTGTTCGTGAAACATGAGAGCCTAGTTTGAGACTAGAGGCGACCTTCATTGCTTCCTCGACAGTAAGATTGCCATGAAGTTGATTGTCTTGCATTATGTAGCATGACAATTTTCTAAAAGCACTCAAATTCCTCTCGTGACCGTTCATTGTGATGCTGCCTTCCGTTCCAGTAGTTCTGCATGTGAAAAACAAAAAAATAATTAGTACAACTCTTTTTTTTTTTTTTTGACCAAGCAATAAAAAAAACTACTTCTAACAAAATTACTTAAGAAATTAGTAAAAACTATTTTTTTCTGCTAATAATTCAAAAATTAATATTAGGCTCAGCGTTGGTCGCACTCGTTAAGGCGCACGTTTTTAATACGAGTTGGGTTTTTGCGTTCGAATCTCCCCAGAGGTTTCAAATTTTTCCTAATAATAAGAAAACAAAATGAATGATAAAAATTGAATTCTTTTTGGGAAATTTTATTCAAATAGTAGGTATTGAAAATCATTGAAATTAGAAAAATGTATTTTATTTTTGAAAATAATTGAAATTAGGACAAGAATTTTTTTGACATTTATGAAAATAATTTAACTTTGGAGAAGAATTTTTTTATTTATAAATATAATTGGGATTTTTAAGAGAATTTTTTTTCAAATTTTGAACATAGTTGAATTTTATAAGAAGAATTTTATTTTTTTTTAAATAATTAAATTTCTGCAATTATTTGTAATTTCTCCAAACTAGAATTTTTTTAGTGTTTTCAACAAAAATTTAAATTAGAAAATTTTTAAATTCTATTATTTTTAAAATTGCTAATTTTACTTAAAAAAGGTAGTAAGTATTTCTTTCTCCTTTTTCATTGTTTAAAATTTTCTATAGAATGCGGCAATTGTTTTTATTTTATTTTTTTTTTTAATTAAACATATCTTTGAACTTGGGAGGATTAAATGTCAAGTGGTTAGGAGTTTTATTATATAAAAACAAACAGCAAAAGTTTATATTACTGAGGTCGTTAAACCGGTTTAATGCAATCCTTAGTGTGTGTATTTGTGCACATTTGTGTGTGTGTGTGTGTGTGTGGAAAAAAATATCAAAAAGCAATTTTAGAGACGATCGTAAATGTTTTTTATACACTTTTGAAAAAAAAGTTCCTTTTGAATTAATCAGATAAAAATTCAAATTCATTTTTTTTCCTTTTTAATTCAAGTGGTCAGTCTAGTCTTTATAATAAAAGCAAATTTTGTGAGTTCGATTTTTATTTTTTTTTTGCTGTATTTTTTTATCAATACAGAAGAATGGATAGAAAAAATTATGGACAATTTTAATTTAACAAATTTTATTAATAAAAAAAATTATTCAAATTTTAGAATTAAAACTTATTTGTATTTCCAACGTGGAAAATTTTTAAATAATTTAATTTTTGAAGAACTATCAAAGAATTATTGATTAGTAATTATTTAATGAATAATTCTATACTTAAATATTTCAAAAATAATTGAATTTCAAAAGGTTTCAATTTTAAATTTTAGAAAATTTGATTTTTTAATGAATTTAACTGGAAAATTTTAAAGAACTTAATTTTTTGAAAAATTTTAATTCAGATTCTTTGGAAATTACTTTGGAAATTACTTAATTATTTCTAAAAATTGAATTGAATAATTGAAGAAATAATTGAATTTGAAATTTTTAAAAAACTTATTTCGAATGGAAGAAGTTAATCATTTTCAGAGTGAATCAAAGTATCTTTTCGGATTTAAAATTCTGTCTGGAAATCATGGAAAAGTTTAAAAAAAATAGAATCCTACCGAAGATGCAAAAAATTTGAGGTTATGTTAATAATTTTTGGAGTAAAAATAAAGAAGTAGAAACAATTATTCTTACAAATTATTGAAATTGAAATTGTTCGTTACATCCGAAATATTCCATAAAAACAGGTTTTAAATTTACATCAATAAAATTAGACTTTTATTCAAGATAAATCTAACACAAATATAAAACCTATAAAATTCAGTTTGCAACTTTCTTGGGAGCTTTCGTCACATTTATAGATTGAAAAATGATAATAGAATTGGAAATTATTTGAATCATCCTCCGATTGCGAAAGTGTAAATTAAATGTTTTTAAAAAAAGGGGAAAAAAATTCAATTGAATTCGCAGAAAAGGTAAACAGAAAAAGATTATTTTTTTCCGAACGCACATCATATATAATATCGCATCGAGAAATCGCCTTGACACTATAGAGTGACCTGTGACGTAACTTTTATACTTTATGCAAATCAAGTGGAATTTAATACCGGAATATATATGTGGAGTAGTTTTCCTGAAAAAACTTTTTCGTTTTCTTTTCTTTATTTGATTTTGTTTTATTTTTATGCAAAGTATTTATAAAAAAGAAACATTATAATTATTAATATACATTAAATCTTTTTCGCATTTATTAATAGCATGTATTAATAATAATAATAATAATTGAAAACAAATTTAAAACTACAAAAAAATGTTAATAATAATATTAATAATAATTAATCGCAGTATTAATAGTAATGAAAATAGCAAATAAGAAGCAAAAAAAAAGTAGAAAGTGGTCCAAAAAAATTTTTAAATAAATATAATACAGTCAATGATGTTATTTTTACTGTTGCGTAAGCGGAAGAAAGTGAAATTTTTCCATTGAATTAATATACTTTCATCTGTTTAAAGTTTTTTTGGTGTCAAAAAAAAGAGTGGAATTTATATTTTTTGTCAGCAGAAAATACTTTTTGCGTGTCGTGACTAATGTTTGTTCAAAATTTCCTTTTCGCCAAATTTCTATTTTTATGAATCTTCACTTATAGTTCGAACTTTCATTTAGCCGAATTAAATGTAATAATTTTTATTTAGATTTCTATTCATTTATCAGATTGTGTTTTCGAATCGAAAAAATTATTTTCATTTGCGGAAATTAGAATTTTTGCGAATAGAGAAAAATTTTGACGAAAAAGAAAATTCTTAAACAATAGAATAATGTTATTTATTTTCACTTTTATATATGTGAAGTGAGAGTTTTTAATTATAAATGTCAAAGCGAATTATCGCATGGCACAGTTTGATAAGTAATACCGCATCATATGTGAACTACTGACATATTAATTTCTTCAGACTCTTAATTTGAATATATTCGTTGATTCAAAAGTGAGAAAATATTTTTTTCTTTTGTTAAAAAATTTCATTTAGAAAATGAAACGGAATGAAAAATATTCAAATTTTTATGTAACGAAATTATTTTTATATATTTAACCGAATTTTTGAATTTATTTTCCATTTCGCCTAATACAGAGTTTTTTTTAAGGATATCAAATTGAGACAAAAAAAAAGTATCAAAATAACTAAGTATCAAAAAAAAGAAAAACTCTGTACAGGGAAGAAAAGAGCTTTTCCTATAAAATTAGGTTTTAAAAATTTTACAGGAATTGCTCAAAAAATGTAATTATTCTTAAAAATTTAATTTCAATTCCTCGAAAAAATCAATTATTAAAAAAAATGTTTTTCTTAAAATTCTTTCGAAGAATTCAATTATTTACGAAAATAATAGAATTTTTTACAGCAATTCAATTATTTTAAATACAATAATTTTAATTAAATTATTTTGAAATAATTCAATTATTCTCTTAGGTTTTAAAAAAAATTCTTCCCAAGAATTCAATTATTATTTACATAAATAATTCTTCGAAAGAATTCAATTATTAAAGATAAATAACAAAATTATTCCCGAAAATTCAATTATTTTGAGGAATTTTAATAAAATATTCTTTGCAAAATTCAATTATTTTCATAAATAACAATATTCATTACAATAATTCAATTATTTTAGAAACAATTTGCTATCCTTAGAAAAACTGTGTAGGGAAGAAAAAAGCTTTTTCGAAAATTAGGTTTTAAAACTAATTTAAAAATTATTCTTTTAAAGAATTTTTAATAATTTTTAAAGAGTATTTAAGTAAATCAAATTCCATAAAAATGAAAAGAAATTAAAATCGACTTTGAATTTATTTTGCATAATTTTGATTTTGAAAAAGTGGTATTATTAAAAATATTAATATTCATACAGTAGTTCTTTTCTATTATTATTATTCACCAGAGATGCCACGCGCATTAATTAAAAAGTAAAGACTATTAAATGTTATTTGAATTTTCCAAGTGAGAATACTTTTGTGGTAATAAAAGTGGATTTACCTGATGTAAATATTGACCTTTTGTTAAACAAGTTGCAATGAACAATATTTCTCGCAAGAATGTTTGAAGATCAGTCAAGTACTTTGTACATCTCATTAAGATTTTATAATGTCTCTTTTCTCATAGGTACATTTATATTAATTTATTTATATTATTTAACAACATTTATATTATTTAACAATAATTCCCACCCTCCTCTCCAAAAAAGAATATTAAACATTGAAAGTATTTTTGAATTTTCAATTAATCAATTACTATTAAAAATTAAAATTAATTAGAAAAAAAGTCTCACTTGTATCCTGTCAGGATGTTAAGAAGTGTCGATTTTCCAGCCCCTGAAGGTCCCATTATTGCTGTCAACTCCCCTGATCGAAGTCTTCCACTGACAGATTTGAGAATTGTTTTGACATCTAAGAAAAAAATTGAGAAAATTAATACTTTTGATTTAATAATAAATTCAATTATTTTTCAATAAACGCTATTCATTTTCTTATGAATTTACTATTGATATTCATTTTATTTATTAAATTATAGTAAATCAAATTACAATTATAGTTAATAATTAATTTTTCTTGGTAATTTATTATACATTACTTTCTAAATTTGAATTAGTAGGTAATTAATTATACATTAATCAACTTTCGTAGTTAATTAAATACATTTAAATTAATTATACGTGTTTAGCTAATTATTGAATTAATTAGTTTAGCTATATTATTTACTTATATTCCTAAAATGGGTTCATTTTTATTTTTTTCATTTTTTTTTTTTATATAAAAATTGTGAAGTATTTTAAGTCTGCTGCATTTATTATAATTTAACAAAGCCTCGTTCGTTTAAAGCTAAGAAACAAAGAGTGGAACTGATGCGTATATATTTGAAAAGATGTGCAAAGTCCAAGACAAAATAATATTCTTCAATCGGATTATATAGATGAAGAGTCGATGTTTTAGGAAATTTATTAAAGGAATTAATTAAAAAAATATTTATTTATCCTTAAAAAAAACTTTTATATGAAAAAAAACTTCTTTCTTTTGAAAAGTGTAAAACTGAATCTGAATTTATCTTTTTCTACATTCTCATAAAAAAATAATAAAAAGTCTTGTTTTTAAAATGAAACGATAGAATTAAGAATTCATTTTTTACTTTTCAATTATTAAATTTTGTATTTTATCTTACATAATTTGTTATCTTTTTACTCATACATTCGAGAGATTTCATTGTTTTCTTTATTAAAGTACAAGGTTTTAAAAATAATATTTAAAGTTATAAAGAAAATTATAATAGTTATAAAAAAAAAATTCAATAAATGAAGAAATAAAATTTATTTATTTATTTAAAAATTAAATTAATTAAATAATTGAGTTATCATTTGCTATTGTTTTTTTATCAAGTCGGATGAATAAGGATGAGAAAGTTCCTTTCCCTTTCTAAATTTTACTTTCGATTCAAAGGTCAATTTTCGAGTCGACACATGAAACAGAAAGCAAAGAGACTTTTATATTTTCATAGAATTGTGTTTATTGTTATTTTCAAAAATCTATAATAATAATAATAATACATTTAAAATTTATTGTTTCAGATAAATGGAGTAAATCATCAATCATTATTATTATTATAATAAACCTCCCTGAAGATGAAATGGGAATATTTTGGGTGAGTTTTTATTTTTTACTATAATTACTGTATCTTTTTCAAATTTGTTTATTTATATCCTTCCTTGAAGTCCATAAAGACCTATGTTACAAAAAAAAATTTTTTATTTTTCATGATAAAAAAAATTGGAGAAAATTTTAAATGAATGTTAATGTTGCATATTAACGATAATATTCATAATATGTATAAATTTTTCGAACGCGCCTAAAACATTAGGAGAATGAAACAAAAATCTATCTCGTGTACAAACACTAAAATGATTCATTTCCTCATCGGAAATGTAATCTTTAATGCAAAACGCGTAACCTTCGTTTTCTCATATTCTACTCAAAAGTTATTTTTTATTTTCTTTTTTTTAAATTTTAGTTTAAATTTTGATAATTCTCCATAATTACCTAATTTTTTTTTTATTTTCACAAATTAAATTTTCCACAAGAATTCAATTATTTAAAATAAAATTGTCATAATAGTTATTAAATTTCGAAAAAATTGATTATTTAAAACAATGTTTATAAAATTCTTCTAAAGAATTCAATTATTTTCAAAAATAACAAAATTTTTCCCAGAAATTCAATTCTTTTTAAATATTTTCATAAAATTTTTCGCAATAATTCAATTATTTTAATGAATAATAAAATTCTACTCAGGAATTTAAGTATTCTTGAAAATTTTAATAAAATTCTTTGCAACTATAATTATTTCCATAAATAATAAAATTCATCGCAAGATTTCAATTATTTTTATAATAGAATTTTACAAGAATTGCTAAAAAAAATGTAATTATTCTTAAAATTTAATTTCAATTCCTCAAAAAAATCAATTTTTTAAAATTTTTTGGAAGAATTCAATTATGAATTTACAAAAACATTAGAATTTTTTGCAGGAATTCAATTATTTTCAAATATTTTAATAAAATTGTTCGAGATCGAGAGATGTCAATTATTTTAAATACAATTTTAATTAAAATTTTTTGAAATAATTAAATTCTTCTTTTAGATTTTAATAAAATTCTTCGAAAGAATTCAATTATGTCGATAATTAACAAAATTATTTCCGAAAATTCAATTATTTTGAGTCATTTTTATAAAATTCTTTGCAAGAATTGAATATTAGCAGGATAAGAAAGAAGTAAATATTTTTTATGAAAATTAGGAAAAAAGTCAGGTAAATAAAATATAGTCAGTTTTATGAAGTTTCTAAAACAAGTTTTTTTGGTCGTCAAATTCAATTTTTCGAATTAGTAACTGACTTTTTGCTTTTGAATAAGTAAATAGTAAATATAGTTTTACTATAATAAATATAGTGATTTTTAAAGCAGAAAGTCAGTCACTAATTGAAATTACTAAACATTTTTACTGATTAAAATTAAGAGAGTAATAATAATATTTAATATATAAATCAAGTACATTTTTTCAATGAGTGCATAAATATTTGTTTTAATTTAAATGCTTGTTCATGAATCATTATCATTACTTTGTTGCGCTATCAAAACTCGGGATAATATATATAACACAAGGATGAGGTATATAACAAGTTGGAAATTATAATCATCAGTATAATTGTTAACTATGATGAATCACTTTTCAATAGTGATTAATGATTTGGTCTTTTTTTTTTGCAGAGTAAAAAATTTTTTCCCCATTTTCGCAACTTAAGCTATAATGAACAGGATATTGCGTTTTGACAAAGTGCCATATAAACTTGTACATATAAATTACTCGAATTAAAATTTTTAATAAATTTGCAATTAATATTTAAATTTAATTTTATCATTTACAAAATAAGAGAGATAAAACAAAAATGCTTTTTTTTAAATTTTTTATTACTTGCTCTCTATAAATTTGAATTAGTGAAAATGTTTACTAATTTAAATCCGTCGACTTTTTCTTTTGAATTAGTAAATTTTACTAATAAATTAGTAGAAATTACAATTTATTAGTAAAATAAATTGAATTTACCAATTCAAAAGCGAAAAGTCTAATTCTAATAACTAATTCAAATTGGTAATTATAGCATTATAGCCTTCTTTTCCTATATTCGAAAAATTTTGTTTTCTTTTAAATTTTGAGTCTATGGGCCAAAAAGGTTGTAATAATTTTTGTCGTTTACGATAAATACATTTCTAATAAGTGATATTATTGAAAAGGAGAAATTAACATTCAGAATGAGAATGCGAGTCTCTAAGAATAATTGAAAAAAAATTACGTGATTACAAACAAGACCTCGGAATTCAATGGTAAAGGCGGTCAGGGTTTAGACGTTCAACAAAACTTATAGGATTTGGCAATCGCAAGATGATGAAGGTTTTTTTTTCTCCTAATTTCCAGAAATAGAAATATTTCCACAAAAAAGAAAATTCCGGATAAAGTTTTTTTCCCTATGGTAACAATTATATATAACCATATAATAAATAATATTAATTACTATTAATAATATTATCTAATTAAAATATTTTTTCGACAAATAAATGGAAAATTTTCTTATATGTGATAATTTTTGTTTGATAACAAAAATTCCACTGTATGCATAGAAAATTGTAAAAGAGTAAATTCTTGAGAAATTATGCAATTAATTTTTTTTAAATATCAAACTGATAAGGGATCATTGATATTGAAAATTAATTTCCCATATATAGGAATAATATTATTATTATTGATATTATCATCATTAGCAATTTTTTGTAAATATAATGCTCCACATAATCAATTACACTGATTTCTTTGTGGAATAAATCATGAAATGTACAAATGGAAGTGTATCAAAACTGATTAGATGAACATTATTATTGGCAAATATCACTGTACGATGCGTAAGCGACGTGTGTGTAAAGATCAAATGAACTTTGCTCGAGACTTGGAGAGATTTCGTTAAAGATGCATTTTTTATATGCGCATCGGAAAAATCTGTTTAGAATTTTGATTGAAAGAAATTTTCTTTCAATTTTCAATTACTTCCAAAGTAATAAAATTCTTCGCAAAAATTCAATTATGTTCAAACATTTTTTCAAATTCTCATCAAAATTTCAATTATTTCCACAAATAATAAAACTCATCACGGAATTTCAATTATTTTTTAAACAATTTTAATCAAATTTCTTGAAAAATGTAATTATTCTTAAAAATTTTATTAAAATTCATCAACCAAAATTCAATTATTTTAAAAAGCCTTCCTATAATTTATTTATTAAAATTTAAGTATTATTGTCAATACATTTTTAATTAAATTTCTTGAAAGAATTAAATTATTTTCAAAAATTTTAATGAAATTCTTTTTAACAAGTCAATTTTCTTTCAAAATAATTGTAATAAAATTCTTCGTAGAAATTTAATTTATTTCAAAAATTTGTCGAAATTCAATGTCTACTATTTGAATAAAATTTCACAAAACCATTCAATTAGGTATTTAAAAAGAAATATTATTAAAAAATTCCTCTCAAGAATTCAATTATTTCAATTATCTTTATAAATATTAAATACTAAACTTTTTCTCCAAAATTCAATTATTTTCAAAAACTTTTCTCAATTCAATCAAATTTTTTACAGATATTCAATTATTTTTAATAAAATTTTAATCTAATTTCTCTAAAAATGATAATAACAGAAATAGCAGAATTTTTGAAAATGATTTCAAACAATTGAAAATTAATTAAATTTTGTCTGTTGCTATTAGTAAGAAACATTTTAAGAAACTTTTTAAGAAACAAGTACTAAATATTTTGCAACTATATTTAAAATTACACACCCAGGGAAATAATTTATTATTACAAATCAGAAAGAATTAAATTAATAAAAAAAAAAAAAACTTTCAAAACTAGTTTGCAAATAATTATTAGACTAGTATTGAATTTGGTGAATTTTTGTTTATAACTTAATTAATAGTCGAGTAGTGCGCGAATATATAATATATATCACTTGTTATTTAAATTCAGACACGTGAAACTTGAAGGAAAAAGAAATTTTTCCTATTTTTTTTACATGTACTCAGTGATTTTACATAGGTGAAGGGAAAGAAAAAGTTGAATAGATTACATCATTTAAGACTTGTTTCTCTAATTCTATCGCTCTTATATTTGCATGGTCTTGAAACTCATCTACCATTACATAAAGTTTCGCAAAAATAATTTTACTGCAGTATAATTGAATTTTCAACACATGAAAGTTTGTTTACTTTAAAAGAAAATGGAAAAATGATAATGAAGACGATTATTAGTCGCAGAAATACTACTCTGAAATTTGGGGATTTAATCGCTAAAAATTATTCGTTTTAAATCTAAATTTTCAATTATTTTCAAAAATTTTTCTAATTTTAATGATTTTCAATATAATTTTAATAAAATTTCCCAAAACGAATTCAATTATTTAAAAAAAATTTAAATAAAATTGTATGCAAACATTTAATTATTTTAATAAATAATAAAAATTTCACAGGAATTCAATTACTATTTTCATACAAAATAATTTAAAATTCTAGAAAAAAATAATTGAATTAAAATGATAAAAATAATTTTTATGAAGTTACAGTAACAATATTCTTATAATATAAAATAATGATTTTATCTTTAATTATTATTTATTAGAAAACCTGAAGAAATTGATCACTCCGAGTCTTCGACTCGGAGCAATCGATATATATTCATATGTTTTATAACAACAATTTTATAAGTTGTTTAATTTAAAAAAGCTTTGAATTTGAAATTTTTAAGTGTCTTAATTCCTGTGGAAAATCCTCTTCCAAAAATAAGATTAAAAATAGAAATTTATTGCACAAATATTTTTCTTCTTTTTCTAAAACAAAATAATAATTTTGTTAAAAAAATTGTGATTCATAAAGAAAAATAATGCAAAATAATTTTGTTTACAAGTAAAGAAAAATTGAATAATTTCAATTTGACAAAACATAATATTTAACAAAAATTTAGTCTTTTAATGAAAAGAAGTGAAGAAAATTCTGATGATTTCTATTTGTCATTACAATTTTGAATTAATTATAAAATAAAAATAATTATAACATAATAATAAAATGTACAATGATCTATCTAAAGATAACAAAAAACAAAAGTATAAATAAAAGGCAACTTCAGAGTTTTTAATTTGAATGTTTTAACAAATTTTAATTCCCACGGAAAAATAATAATGATTAGATATTTATTCAAAAAAGAAATTATTGATGTTTTCGAATAATTTTCCAATTAAAGAAATTCGCTATCAAATGTATTAGACATTTTTTTTGTGACTATCTAATAACTTTTAGAGTGAATCAGAATATTATTTAGTCTCAGGGAAAAATTGAAATTTCTGTCTGGAAATCAGGGAAAAAAATAAAATTTTTGTTTCAACCTTATGAGGATCATTGTTGATTGAAAATTCTGTTTTCGATATTCTTATAAAAGAGAGAAGGTATCTTTAGATTTATTTTTATCAAATGGAATAGTAATTTGTTTGTTGAAAATAATCGTTTTTTGTCATAAATGAAAATTTGACTGAGATTTTGAGAGTCCAGAAGAAATAAACAACAAAACTATTGTTCTCCAATATTTAGGTCCAATAAATCGTTATCTTATCTTAAAATAGTTTTATCTCTGGGTTATGTTATTATCGATGAATAATAAAGTTAATATTATAGTAACGTAGAAATTAGTAAAAATTCTTACTGTTTTTGCGTCCCTCTCGTACTTTATACGTCAGATCGGTAAAGGCCAAATCAACAGGTGGCCGTTTTGGTAAATGGGTTATGGTTTTTGGTTGCGCCGGCACAATTTGTAGTCGGACTGCAGAATTTTTTCTGGATTGCAATAAAATTCCATTGGAATCATCGTCCCGTGAACTGTGACCCTCGAGCTTCATTGTTGTTTATTTTATTTTCAAATTTATCGTTAAATGATTTTCCAAAAAAAATTGATTGATTGATTGATTGATTGATTGATTATTCTTGTGAAATGTGCAATAACAAAAAGGCCGAATACTTCTTCTCTTTCCTCAAAGTTATATCACTTTTATTATTCCTTTTTTTTCCTACTTTTAATAGTCTTTTTTTTATTTCTATATCGTCACACACTTCTTTTGCAATTTGTCAACCTGTAATTTATATATTTTTTTCTTTTATAAATTTTTGTATATAAAATTCATAATCATTTTTTTTTTGCAAACTCCGAGAAAATTTATTTTTGTCTATTGATAAGAAAAGATTATATGAATATTCTACAGTTCGCTTTAGTAAAAATTTTATTCTTGGATCGAAATGTTAATTTTAAGATTTAAAAATAAATATTTTAGAGCAATTTTTAATGATTATTTAATGTTTAATTAATTTTTAATTATGTCCGTTGTAATTAAAACAATGTATTTCTGAATTAAAGAAAAAAAAAGAATCTGGAATAATTTCTAAGTTATGTAAAAATAATTATATAGAGTAGATCGTGATATTTTCAAATATTAGTAAACATAAAGGAAAAAGCTGGTTTTTATATTTAAATTTACGTTCGTAATTAACATAAAATTAATGCAAATAATTAATAGATATTAATTTTTCTTAATAATACCAGTTAATAATTTCCGTTAATACTTAATAATATCAATATTATTAATATTTATATAATATTGTTATATTAATATTATATTATTCAAGAATTATTAAATTATTTATTGATGAATTAATTATTAAAAAAAATTTGTTGACGAATATATTATTAATGAGGCTTATCAATTATGTTTATAATAATTAATAATTATTATTAATTGTTATTTGTATTAATATTGACATTATTAATATTATTTTTATTTATTTTTTTATTATTATTATTATTATTATTCACAGGAAAAAATTATTTGTTACTCTTATTATTTTTAGGTATTCTATTTTTAATGAATGAATAATTAATAATAGATGAATATTATTAGATAATTGAATTTCTAATTATTAGAAAATTACACCAAAGATTATATTGTTTTATAATTTTTTTTTCTAAATATTATAAGTATGTTAGAGTTAAAAAAGCAGATTGTGAAAAAAATACTTTTTATGAAAATTAAATATATTTTCTAGTATTTTAAAGTTTTATTTTGTCTTCAAAATCAAAATTTTTATAGTCATGGAAGAAAAATACTTTACTAAAACTTTAGTTCTATTGTTATTAATTATACATAATTAAGTAATTAATTAGCTATCAGTTTAATGTTAAAAACTTGAATAACAATAATTAAAAATGTATTTTTATCTATTGTCTATTTATTTTTATTTTGTGTAATCTCCAGAAAAATTGAACAAGAAAATTCAGAGCTATAATAATTTTTTTTTTATTGAAGGTAACAAACAAAAAATTTTGCAAAATATTTACTACAAACACTAATAATAATAACAATAATAATAATAATAATAATAAATTTTAAAAATAATAATAAAAGTAATAATGAAAGTAAAAAATGTTTTAAATAATTACAATTAATAATTTTTAAATTGAACATTATATTTGAAAAGTCATTTGAACTACAGAAACAACGGAAGTGTCGTTTCCATGCTTTCATTGACATCACACGCGACCAAAGCGATAACAAACTCGGTAGTTTTATGTTACAACGCATTTAAATTATTTCTTATTCTATTTTTTTCTCGGAGTTTGAAAAAAAGAAAAAAAATGATTAGACCACAATTGCGAGTCTAAAAATATTTCTTTCAATATCTCTTCTTACACTTTTCATGCCATTTTATAAATTCCTTTGTCCTGTTATGATATACTTTCTGTTATTTTCGAAACTATTTTTTTAAGAGAATTGCTGTTTTTTTTAATAAACACTCACAACATAATGATAATTTTCACTTTAATTGAAAATATCCAAGTGCGAGACAATGAGAATTGAGAGGAGAAAAAAAAATGTTTAGCAGGAACGAGCGCATTTGTTGCGTTCGAAACACTGCGATACGCGCGCGATCGCGACACAAGTGGGACTGTTTCTGTTTCACTGTTTTAAATCAAGTGGAACAAGTGAGAGAACGACAACGACAACGACAACGACAACGACGGCGATGACGATGACGACCAACGACGACGAAGGAACGGTTCGACCATCACCATTGACCGTCGCGATGGTCCCCGGCACTCCGCACTCAGGCAAATCTTGGTAGGGAGAGAGAAAGAACCTGAGCACTGAGCAGCGAGTGTTTATCACGCAGGCAACGTAGGAGCAAAGTCGAACTGAATCATGCGGAGGAGTTGATTTTGTATTATGTCAAAGTCTCGATAGTCGGATGTCAGAGCGATTTTTATTAATTAACACGTGGCATAAAGTATTTTTAACAAATTTTTTAACAAATTTTTTAACAAATTTTTTGTTTCTAAATTTTATTTTTTATATAGAAAGAGAATTTGTTTTATTCTATTATTATAATTATTTACTTTGCAGATGGGGAAAATAAACAAGAAAAATCATTTCGATTTAAAAAAATCTTCAAAAAATTATTCAAGGGCATTTTTTAACAAGAGAAGCAAGTTATTGAAAAAAATTCAAAAAATTCAATTATTTTCACTTTTTCGTAACTCAATTATTTTTAATATCTACTATTTTAATAAAAAATATCAAGGGTCTTTTTTAAAAAAGGGCTTTTTTCTGAAAAAGTTCGGTACCTAGAATATAATTAGAATTCATCTCTCAAGACCTTTTTTTTCACGGATTGAAATAAGGAAAAAATCGAAAAATATTTTCGATTATCGGATAAGAGACTTTTTTTGCAAAAAGGGATTTTTTTGCACCTAAAAGGTTCGGTACGAAAATGTTGATTAGAATTCCGCTCTGAAGTAGAAAATTTTTGCAAATTGAAAAATGAAGCTAGTCTTCAATTTTTTTTATAGATTAAATTAATGAAAAATTCGAAATTTTTTTTTAATGTTCGGGGTATTGTGTACGTCAATATTATAGACAACGGTGATTTAAAACTTAAAAATTTTTCATCACATGTAATTCACGTTTCTTTTAAAGAACAGTGTGCCGTTACTTGCTGCAGGACGTGCTCCTATTTATCACGTAATGACTTTAACAAAAAAAGTAAATCACACCTTGATTTTCAAGTAGACATTAAAAAAAATGCAAAAATCATTATCATACATTCTTCGTTCGTTTAAGTAAAATTAAATATTTCTCGTCACATTACTTTTTTTATTCTGTGAAAAATAAAAGTTTTTTCCAAAAAAAAGTAATTTGTAAATTACTATCTCCAACTTATACAACAAACTATTGATTAAAGAAAACTTGTTTTACAATGACACTGTTACTCTCCATTAAAAAGTTAATTAATATTCTGCGATTTAATGATTTCCTAAAAAATCATTTAATAACAGCAATTGTTTTTCTTGTTTTTCTTCTTCTTCTTCTTCTTCTTCTTCTTTTACAATTTAAATTAATTAAATATTATAAATAATAATTATAATAATAAATTCTACCGAATTTAGAAAATTTTGTTGAAAAATAAAATTTTTGGCTTTAAACTTTTTATGTGTATTCTCAGGTTCCGTGTCATATTCTCTGGATCGTCAACCCTTAGCTTTCTTTTTAATTTTTTTTTGCAAACTTAATTCCAGGACCGGTCCAGAGTTTAACAAAAGTCACGTAGGCGCCTCGAAAAATAAAGTCATAATAATATATGGAACATTCCGTATGAAATTTTCATCTAAAATAATTTTTTTACTTTAGTTCATGTTTGATAAAATTGAAACATGAATTATATGTTTATATTAAAAATTTTTTATAAATAAATAAATTAGAACTTGTTCTGATAAAAAATAAAAATTATAAAAAATGAAAAAAGGTTATAAAATTAGCAATAATTAATTCTTTGCTAAAAAAGGGTATTTAAATATTCGAACATGTTTAATTTGCAAAAAAAAAAAAAAATAAAATTGTAAATTTACAAAAGAAAATCGGAAAGCATATCGTTCACGTGAATATTATTATGGTACAATGCGTGACGCATTTTTCTCAAATTGGAAGTACAACGAACGTAATCCATACATATTTGTTTCCTGTATATATAAACCATAAATATTGTAACGGATATTACGCAAAAAATAAATTCGAGACTCGCAAGCAAACTTTATATTCTAACTGTTCAAAAAATTTTTTTGTTTTTTTTGGTAGAAGAAACAAAATTTTTTTTGATATTATAGAAATAAATATTAGGAGACAAAATTTATATTTTTAAAAACTTAATATTCTAAATGTTCAAAAAACTTTATGGTTAAAAAAAAATTTTAAAAAACCTTATGGTTTTTTTTAGAAACAAAAAAGTTTTTTGAACAGTTAGAAAATTAAATTTTTAAAGATGTAAATTTTAGATTTTGTCTCCAAATATTTATTTCTATAATCTAAAAGATTAATTAAAACACGAATGGAAAGAAAAGAATCTGAGACACTTTTCATTCAGTAATTAGTGGGATTTTTCTGCTTTTCTTTTTTTGTAATAGTTTAAAAAAAAAAAACAATGAAGCTAATGAACTCGAAAGTAATTTCTACACGGAAGGCAAATTGGACTGAGAATAAAGGTCGTTTACACAATAATAGCACAAAGTCCGCGCGTGAGAATCTTTTTCCATTCATTTTGATAATAAAAAATATTGTAAATTTTTTTTTTCATTGAATTTACTTTACTTCTTTTTTAATTTAATTTTTATTTTATTTATAATATTAAAAACAACTTTCATTATTAAAGAAAATGAATTTTTTAATTTTTATTATTGTTTATACATATAAATTGCTCTAAAGAATTTGTTGAATTTTTTATTTTAACTAACCCTCTAAATTTGAATTTGTAAAAATGTTTACTAACTTGAATTAGTGACCGACTTTTTGCTTCTAAATTAGTAAATTTTACTAATAAATTAGCAAAAATTAATATTTATTAGTAAAATTTACAAATTCAAAAGCAAAATGTCAGTCAATAATTTAAATTACTCTCTAAATTTGAATTAATAAAAATGTTTACAAATTTGAATTAGTGACTGAATTTTTGCTTTTTAATTAGTAAATTCAATTTATTTTACTAATAAATAGTAATTTCAACTAATTTTTTTAGTAAAATTTACTAATTCGGAAGCAAAAAGTCAAACAGGAATTTTTACTAATATATTAGTAGGAATTACTATTTTTAAGTAAAATTTACTAATTCCAAAACAAAAAGTTAGTTACTAATTCAAATTAGTAAAAATGTTTACTAATTCAAATAAAAAGAGAAAATTTTTAAAACACTTATGAAAAAAATTAAAATAACTAAAAATTTGTTGTTACAATTAATAAACATATAATTTATTGTTAATATAACAATTTTGATTAATTATTGAACAAAAGTCGGAATTTAATTTTAAAAAAGTACAAGTTTATTAAACAGTTTTTTTTAAACATCTTGCGTATTATGCGGAATGTAGTGAGTCGCGATATTAAAGTCCATTTACTGATAAGAATTGAAAATTCTTTTTTATTTTTTTATCACATTTTCATCTCAATTTTTTATCACAACTGAGAGGAAAGATATAAATTATCTGTCGTAATGACAATTTATTAATGATTGAGGTTCTCCAGCTACTGCACGTCGCAAATTTAATGATAATTACATCAATAATATTTAAGACTGTTTTATTTTTCATAAATATAATTCAATTTACAAGTAAATTTAAATATTTAAATAAATTTAAAAAATAGAAATAAAATAATTAAATTATGAATGGAAATAAAAAAATAATAAACAAAATAATTTATAAATAAACATAATTAAAATTTTTAAACAATGTTTACTGATTATGCGTTACCTTTTTAATCACAATATTAATACAAGAATTGTTAACATTTTTTTAATATTATTATTATTAATAATTTAATCGATGTCCGCTGTGCGCTCGCAGCAAAAATATAAATTTACAGGCATGCGACGATAAGACATTTGAATTCTGACAGCTTTATGTTTTATGCTTGAAAAGCGGGATATTGTAATGAGATTGTGAGACGAAGACTAATTTTTATTGTCATATTGTTGGAAATAAATGAGAATTACATTTATACTCTTGAAAAACCAGTTAACGATAGTCGTATCCACTTATAATGTTGACGGATTTTTTCTCCCCGATTTTTTTCTGTTTTATTACAAATCGAAAGCTCGAGGGTCAAATATTGTATTAATTCTTTTAATTATCTAACTTTTCATCAAAATGATGATGAGGTAAAAATTATTCTTTTAATTTTCTATATTTCAAATTTATTACAAATAATAATAATAATTAATAACTATTTTGTAATTACAAAAAAAAATGACAATTCTCTAAAAATATTTTTTTTTCTATTTCAAAAAAAAATTTCAGAATGAAAGTTAAGGTTTTTGGAAACTTACCCACTCAAATCGTTTGCAACCACATTAATTTGCCTCTTGGGCAATGCATTCTCTACGATCGTCATGATTTTCGAAAAATATTACTGATCAGCATGTATAGTGATCCTTTGGAGATATAATTTTCCGAATATCTGAAATAATAGAGAATGATTGTTTTTTTTATTATAAAAGCTGTTGGAAAATTCAAATTAAAAACAAAAAGTTAATAGTCGCTTATCCCTTAGTCTCGTGTTTGTTTTTTAGTTTTTTGTGCAAGCTTTAAATAAATTTAAATTTATTTTAAATAAATAAATGAATAAAACTAAATACCTATATTCCTATTTCTTAAAATAAAAAAATAAATTAATTTTACGTAAATTAATACCTAATAATAAATAAATAGGTAATATCCGACCATGGAAAAAATTGTTTTTATTGTAAACAACGTGGAACAGTAAATAAGGAAAATAAACGTAATTTATTATTTATTTACAAGAATCAAAAAATTTACAAAGATTAATTTAAAGTAACGAGGTAAACTTTGAGAAATATATATCTTTTTTTTTTGTTTAAAAATAACAAAAATGAATGCATCAACTCGTGGTCCTTGAACCTTGAACAAACGATAAATATTCTAATAAAAAAAGGATGTAGTATTTCAACAGAAAATATGAAACTTTGTGTATAAATTTTATATAATCGCCTTTTTGTTTTGAATTTTTTCCTGAAATAAAACATTCTGTCGGAAAAAATTATTATTTAAAATTAGTTTAAAAAAGTGGTAATCTTTTACAAAATTTATTTTATAGAAAAACTTTTTCAGCGGACTGTAAAATGATGGAAATTTCAAGTAATGTTGTAAATAGATCAAGAACATCTTTGCAGAAATTCAATTAGTATCAATAAATTTTAATAAAAATGTATTTTTTAGAAAATTAATCAAATTTTCAATTATAATTATAAACACACAAGATTATTTTCAAAAATTGAAAAAATTTTTAAATTATTTTTCAAATTTTTAATTAAAATTATTAAAAAAAAAAACATTATTTTCATAAAATTGAAAGAAACTCGTCAAAAGAATTTAATAATTCATAAAAATTCTAATAAAAAATTTGGAAGCCATTTGTAGATTTATTTATATTCGAAATTAAATAAATTTAAATTTGATGAGAAAACCCTGTAAATGAGAACCCTGATGAGTTAGACACCCTGTAAAGGTTTATGTATTTTTTAAAATATCTTTTTGAATTTGGGAGGAAAATGAAAAACTGCAAATTGGAGAAAGTTTCCAAGTCTTGAAATTCTCCAATTCTTCAGATTGGAGAAAATTTTGAAGTAGTATTCTTAAAAAAAAAGTGGTGATAATTTTGAAAATTCCTTGCACGGATTTTACTGTTCATTGACCGTTAAGAGCGCTCGAGATCTTGACTTTCCAATAATGACAGAGGGAAAAGAGTTGTTCAACTTGACCATACCAGATTGCTATATAGACATTTCTATTTTATATATACCTACATGTAGTCATGTAGACACTGTATACTTACGTGAAAGCACTCAGAAAATTACGTGTACGTATCGAAGTACGTATTTGAATCCTATTAAATCTTATTAATCTTTATTAAAACTTGTTTGTTCTCCTCGCCAAAAAAATCGAAACTAACACAATTTTTTCCAATTTTTGCTCCAAAAGTAAATTTATAAACACATCAGAAAGACGATTTTGCACTCACTGATGAATAAGTACAATTATGAATGTTTGCGCAATTAAATCATTTGAATTGTCAGTGCGAGTGATAAATGCTTATTCTATGATTGGTCATCAATAAGGTTGGAAAGTCCGCTATTGATAAGAAACACCAGAAACACTTTGACACCGTTTTTTTTCTGTTTTTATTTTATTTATTATTTGTTTGTGTTTTCGTGTTTGATCATAACAATTTGCAGTAGTGTGAAATATTTTCTGGTTTACATGATCTTTTTGTTCCTTTTTTGCTTAGGAACTAGTTTGTTTAACACGAGTCCGTGAACTGCGACCCTAATGTAGTAATGTACTTATTTATTCTGGAAGCAAAACAAACATGGACGATGGATGATATGGAGGAAAAAGCAGACGACTCTTAGTCAGCTGATCTCTGAAAATAATGTGTTGTATTTTTACTCTGAGTTTGCGCAAATGTTCTAACTTCATGTATACGAAATTCCCGCGGGTAATTTGAGAAACGGATACAAAAAAAATCTTCAATCAATTCTTTTAGAGGGAAATCGACAGATTTTTTTTTATCCGTTGGTGTTCCTTTCTTGGAAACAACAAACAAGTGATTTGTGTGGGAAAAAAAACGAAGGACATGGTTTCATGTTTGTCTAATAGCAAATGTAGGCAACTGTTGTTATATTTCTGTAGCTAGTCTTAGTCTCTCTATGATCATGGTTGGCGATGATAAGGATTGCACACAGCGATGGGCATGTTTACACAGAAAAAACGGAAGCTACTACTTAAATAGGAGCCAAGAATATTCTCCACTTAAATTAAGCAGGAAATATTCTTACAATAAGATTGATATTCTTATTGTAAGAATATTTCCCACTTAATTTAAGTAAGGAATATTCTTGGCTCCTATAATTTAACCCTTAAACCGCACCCTGGGTGTGCGACACCCATATTCTAGCTTTTTACTCTAATATCTCGTTTAAATTCGTAAAAATTGAACATGTCTTGATATTGGACAGTACATTTTTTACTTAACTTTATGTTTCGTGAGTGACATTAGTCTGCCAAGTGTCTTTTGTCTTTGTGTATTTGATAACTTTATGAAGTTGACGGCGAAAAATTTCTGCTTGTCTGACACCCAGTTTTTGGTTTAAGGTAATTTCAGTAGTTTTAAAAAACTCTTTTTTAATTATTAAAATTAAATAAATCATTATGAAACCTATTTTCCTTCAAAATAGATGTACTGAGCTATTAAGATAATTTTTCCAAAAGATAATAAGGCGGTTTAACCCCTTCACAGTCGAGTGAAAATAAAGTTTTTGTGCCATAAGTGTTCAAAAAAATTTTTTTTTTTTAAAATCATGATATTGTCATATTTTATGTTTTTGAGGTCACTGATTCAAAATCCGTGGTCGAAAAGTCAAAATTCAAAATGGCGGCTTCAAAATATCGAGCAAAAAAATTGAAAAGTTAACGAATTCGTTAATTTAAAAATTTTTTTTTGTCGCCTTTTTAAAGTTGCAATTTTAAATTTTGAATTTTTGACCACGGATTTGAAATCAGCGACCTCGAAAACCCCCGAGTAGGCATTTTAAGGCATTTTAAAAAAAATTCGTAAACTTAAAAATTTTTTTGGGCGCCATTTTGAAGCCGCCATTTTGAATTTTGAATTTTCGACAACGGATTTGGATTCAGCGACCCCGAAAACCCCCGAGTAAGGATTTTTAGCCAGATTCGTTAACATTTAAATGTCTTTTTTTCCGATGGCCCTATAGAGCCCATGGACATACAGGGCACGACATTTTTATGGCTCTATAGAGCCCACTGACAGTGAAGGGGTTAAGGATGGATTCGTAAGTGTGCGCTTTAAGGATTAAGTAGGCGCTTCTGAAAATTAGATTATCGTTTTTCGGTGTAGAATTAAATAGAATGCAGCTAGTTTTTTATTTTGTTTAATCCAAATAAGTAACGATATCTATATATTTTTGAAAAAAGTTAACAGAAAAGTATAATAATTTGGGGATTAGACAAACAAGTAGATGGCGAGTAATTGGCTGAGAGAAGCAACCCCCCACTCTTGTGTCATGCGCACAAGCCACTTTCTTCCCATAATTATCGAGTAAGAAGCCTGATATTTACCAATTACCATATTTACTATTAGAAAAATGTATAAAATTAACTCGAGAGATTTGTACAGACCTTTAAAATAACAAGGGGTTTAAAAATTAAGGTACAAGTAGAAATAAAATTAAAACACTTTTTTATATTTAATTTTTTTCATTTAATAAAAAAACTTGTTCTCTATTCAATACATAATAACCTTATTTAATCTAAAGACTACTCTAACAATTCACAATGCGATCTTAGTCTTTTTTCGCTGTATATAAGCAAGTCTAAATATTTTTTGCAGCTTTACTGCATTGCTTGCCTAATATATTCGTAAATTATTATTAATATCAATAATGATAAAAATAAGAATAATAATAACGATAAATATAATAATATTTATTATTAATTAATATCGATTAATAATAGTTATTATTATAAATATTATTATTTGTTAAAAGATTGTAATAATAATAATACTAATGAGAATAAAAAATTAAAGGATTAATTACAAATCAAGCACCTATTAAAATCATTCGTTCGACGAATAAAAAAATTTAACATTCACAAACATTTGATTTGTCAATTATCTATATATATATATATATATATAAATATATATATTATAACTGCTTTTTTTACTTTAATAGAAGTAATTTTTTTTGTCACAGCAGCCAGAGTTTGGTCAAGTGTCAACAAAATTCATATTTGCAAAATTTGTTCATAAAAATGTAATTTATAATTGTATATATAATTAATTATATATATGATATATAACTAAGGATGAAATTATTTTAAAAGGAGACGTAACGTGCGACAACTTTTTTTACTTAAAAAAATATTTCTTAAGAAAAATTGGTATAATTTTCTTTTTGATAAAAATAAAAAAATTAAATTTTCATTATTGTAATTATTTTTAAAAAATGGTTACAAATTCTTCTTTTATAAAAATTTGGAAAAAAAATAAATAACTCAGGCGTCTCGGCGGCACGTAAATCTAAAATATATATTTGCAAATGGCAGCTTATTTTGAGGAAATTGTATTTTATGTTTTTTTTCTTGTTATTATTTTTTAGTCTACTTCATTTTTTTTAAATTTAAAACTGATTTTTCATTAATATGAAATTTTTTTTTCGGTAAGAAAAATTATTGACTTTTATTAGAATTGAAAATGCTTTTTTTCGTTTTTGTTTTCTATTTTATAAATTTGTTATTAAAAGCATTTATTAAAAACGATTAAATACATTTAAAAATTGATTTGACGGTAAATATTGTTTTGAAATTTTTAAAAAATCTAGGTCGTTGAATTGGAAATGCTCTATATATAATTTTCCAAAGGCAATATTTAAATATCTTAAAACGCGCTCTTTTCTCTCTCTCTCTCTCTCTCTCTCTTTTTCTCAGTACTTTTCGGATTGAAAGACATTTATCACTGTGTTACGGCAGACATTTTACATTTATTTTACAAATCATAATTTTTAAAGAAATCGATATTTTTGAAATGCAAGAAATTATTTTTCTAAAAAATCCTTTACTACTGATAAAATTTAAAATCTTTTTCTTTTCGTTTTCAAATCCTGTTTTTAATATTAAATTAATTAAATTTATTTCATATAAATTAACATTAAATAGAATTTCTTTTAGAAACAAGATTTTTGCTCTAATTTAAAAATTTTTTAATTTGCTCACAAAAATAATGATTTCGATGAAAAAAAAAAGTTTTCTATTTTCATTATTGTAACACAGTGTTTATTTGTATAGATATTAAAATGATTGGATACTATACGAAGATGATTATACAATTAGAAGATTTATTGTGATTAAAAAATAAAACTCTATGATTCTAATTCGTACGCTTTGACGCCAATTTTTTTTTCAATTAAATGGGAACCTATTAAAGCGATGAGTTGGAATTGTCGCTTCTTTTTTTTTTTTTAATAAATTGGAGGGAAGTTTAAGTTCTGAATAATGGATCTCAACATCCCCGTTTTTGGCGAGTGTATTTCACTGATTTCTTTTTTTTAATGCGTTGAAATTATTTTTACAATTTCTTTATACATTAAATAAACTGACATTACGCAGTTCGTAATCGGCAGTTTTTTTTATATATTTGGACTACACGAAAATTCAGAAGTTCCTTTAATTCTATTTATTAAAAAAAATTTTTTTTTTTAATAATAGAACATTTTTTTTTATTAAAAAGTCGATTATTAGTTTTCGATTTTTAAATAAATAGATATTAATTAAGAACTTCTGAAAAGTCCCGGAATTTTTTCGTCTATAGACGCTTCGTGGGACCTGATAACAATTTTCTTCTTTTTTCTAACTAATGACTTACGGTCTAAACATTAAAAATCTAAACTAATTGTGTGTGTAATGTGTGTTGTGTGACCCAAACTCTTCATAAAAATTGTAAACAAAATTGCTATCATAAAAATTCCCGGCGTAGCAATTTTTATTTTAAACATTCGTTATTAGTAAACTTTTTTTTTGTTTAAAAAGTTTACTTCGAAAAAAATTTTTTTCTTTTTTTTATTGTTTAAGTATAAAAAGTTATAAAAAATTTAAAGCTGGAAAGAACTTTTCTTTTTTTGGTTCTGCAAAAACCTATAAAAGGCAACTAATCAATCTTGAGTTTGAGTCGAAAGAAAGAAAAGTTACCTTTGCAACTACTTTGGGATTCATTTCCTCATTTAAACAATTATAAATATTTTTCCCATTAAGTTGAAATTTAACAATCTGGTCCGAAAGTGTTGATTTTCTTCTCTTCTTTTCCTTCTTTTTTCTTTTTTTTTGTTTGTTGAAGAAGGTCAGTCATTGTCGTTTAATATGTCAATGCCCTGAGAGCGATTGATTTTTTAGTATTGAATTTTTCTAAATTTAGAAAAAAAATTTAACGTAACGATCGAAGTTTGAGCCTGAGAACGAAATAGGCGACGATTCTGAGGCCAATGAGGAAACCGACGAGGGCAACAACGTCAATCCAGTAAACAGCGTCGACCATTGACATTTCCTCGAGGAATTTTTGTGGGCTCTTAAAATGACAATAAGGCTCCGAGCATTTTAATTTTGCACGATTATATCCGTAGACTGAGATCATTGCTCCTTCGAATCCATATCTCACGTATGAGACGTATGACAAGATTTTTAGGTATGATGGAATTGCTTTGAATTTCACGAAAAAGCCAGAGAATAGAATTACTGGAACTGTCGACACTGGACCGATAAAGACTCCCGACTGTGGAAAAGAAAATGAAAAGTTAGTTTTCAGAATAGCTTTTTGCCACCAAAATTTTAAAACAAAACCAACATTTTTTACTGCTTTCTACTTCTATTTAAATTTTAAAAAAGTTATTGCAAACAAAATTCAAAGAATTGCAATAACATTTTTTTTTAACGATTCAATTATTTTCACAAATTTTTTTGTAATTCAATGATTTTTAATATCTACTTTTCTAATAAAAAATTTACGAAAGGAATTGAATAATTTTAAAAAAATGTTTATAAAATTCTTCGCAAAACATATTCAGTTACTTTCATAAATAAAAACATTTTCACTGGAATTCAATTATTTAAAACAGAATTTTCCTAATATTTTTCGAATAAAAATCAATTATTTAAATAGATTTTTATACAATTCTTCGCAAGAATTCAATTTTTTTTATAAATAATAAAATTCTTCTCAGGAATCAAATTATTTTTTTAAATTTTAATAAAATTCTTCGGAAAAATTCAATTATCGTCGCGGATAATAAAATTATTCGCAGGAATTCAATTATTTTCAGAAATTATCATAAAATTCTTTTCAAGAATTCAATTATTTAAAACAATTGTAATAAAATTCTTATGAAGAATTCAATTATTTTTAAAAATAATAAAATTCTTCTCAGGAATTCAATTTTTTTTTTAAATTCCAATAAAATTCTTGCTACTTTTTTAAAAATGAATTATCGGGTACGAAGCCTGAAAAAGGATGAATTTTTGAAAGTTTAGTTTAATTTGAATTATTTTTAAAATGAAGTTTTTTAATTACCTCAACACTCATTGCCGCTCCAATTAATAGACCAATTGACTGAGACACGAGTGAGGTCAAAATACAAATATTTAAATACATTAAAAACCTTTCTACCTCCATTGGTTGTGCGGTCATGAAATAGACAATCATCACATATACTGCTGAATATACTATCTGCAATTGAAAATAATTTTCAGTTATAAATAAAATAATAATAAAAGAAAACTATTGTTTAACAGAAAAATATATTTGCGATTGTTAATTATCATTAAATTAATTATTATTTATGAGGATAATAGAAAAATAATGATGGAAAGTATTATACGCACTTGAAATGGTATATCACATAAAGTTCTTGCGAAGTAAAACGCCTTTAAAGAGTACCAATAATTTAAATGTTCTCTTACAAATACAGCCATTTCAATTGGAACTGAAAACAAGAGAAAATTATTCAAATCTATTTAAAGTTTCAATATCAATTCTATTTCATAGATTTGTAATTTTTGATTTTAAGAAAATTTTACTGTAGAATGACCATTAGTTTAGAAACTTTTTGCGATAAGCAAAACTTACACGTAAGGACCGTAGGCATCATTGCGGTAAACATGATAAACATGACGGTGAAAAAAATGCAACCAGCGTTACTGGTAACAACTGCTGCGTCATTTCCAATTTGATAGTAAATAGCACCAATCAAAAATCCAACAATGACGTGTGAAATCAGTCTTACCCTCGTTAGTGTCTGAAAGATTTTTGAAAAATTAAATTTCTTTCTTCTAGTTTTACGGCAAAAAGAGGCGAATTAGTTTTCTGTTTATTTTTTGCCTTTGGCTTAGTAAAGGAGTAATTTTTCCCCTTAGGGGAAAAAGAACCTACTTTACTCCCTAGAACGCCCTTTTTACTTTCTTAAATTTCCAAGTTTTTTGAATCAAGGTTCTGAGAAATTTAGAATTTTTCTAAAGGTTGAGCTAAGAAAAAAAGATTCCATTGGGTAAAAATTAAATTACCATGTCTCTAAATTGTGATAAAAATGTCCTCTTGAGGAGAATCCAAAATTGCAGCCAGCTACTGGTGGGAAAACCGACTTTTTGCTCTATACTTTCGGCACTGTCCAAAAGTGATGTTGTACAAGAAACTGGCATATTGACCACGGCTTGTCCACCAGTTCCCTTCGCGACACCATTTGGAATTAAAGGCGTATCGTCAGTTTTAGTTTGCTCCTGCGGTGACGATTGTTTCGCAATCTCGTTCGATAGTGCATGAGCTGCCGCAAATGTCGCCTGATAATGCTGATAATTATTACATTTTCCGTTATTAACCGCCATCACCAACTTGTGTGCACATTCGCCATGTTCCCCACTCGCCACTTCCATCACTAGAATAAATAAACTTTCTGTTTGGTTTTACTTTCTTCTTCAAATTCCCCTTAAAGGTATTTGAACCTAATGATTACCTTTAAGGGATGTAGTCATGGTTCAAATGCCCTTAAAAATGGAAATTTGTGGAAGTATTCTCACCGTAATCGGCTGGATTATGATAACTAGGACAATCGAGTCCCATTGATGATAAAAAGGGCACGAGCCCACCTACATTTCCTTGATATATACATTGTCCCTCTGCTAAAAGATAGAGTTTATCAAACATTTCAAAAAGCCTCGCACTTGGCTGATGAATTGTACAAATAATGGTCCTTCCTGTAATTTTTAATTCAGACATAAATTAATTTTTAATGCAAACATAAAGAAAGAGATAATAAAAGATTTGCAATTTATACATTTTGTTAGGAATATTTTTCATTTTTTCTTGTGCAACTGACCTCCTCTGCTTAGTGATTTTAAAAGACTGAGGCACTGAAAACAGGAAGAGCTATCGAGACCGGAAGTAGGCTCATCAAAGAACATCACGGGTGGATTATTGACAAGTTCCAAAGCAATGGACAATCTTTTTCGTTGACCTCCACTCAAACAAACCGCTTGTGTATTACTCGCATCGCTTAGGCCCAAGGTTTCGATGATTTCTTCAACCTTCAATTAAAATCATTTATTATTCACTAATGCGAATTCGATTCTAACTTTAAATTCGAAAAACTTTTCTATTTTTCTATTTTTTGCTATGGGGCCGTCCATAAACTATGTGACCAATTTTTCAGACTTTTCAGACCCCCTCCCCCCTAAATTGGTAACGTAGTTTATGGATGGCCCCTATTTCTCAATTTTGTCAGAATTTATAATTTGAAAAATATTGTGATTTTAGAGAAAGAGGAATGAGAAAGAGGATTATAATGAATTTCAACTTACAACAACTTTTTTGGCGGCGACACTAATATCTTTGCCTAACTTGAGATTCGCTGAGACTGTCATTGCCTCGAATACTGTTAAATATGGCATTAAGCAATCATCCTGCATTATGTAGCAGGACATTTTTCGAAATCTTCGAAGATTTCGGTCTTTTCCATTTATTAAAACTGATCCACTTAGGTTCGAAGTTCTGAAATAGGAGAATTTGCAGAATTATATTATTTAGGCTGTAAAAATTGCTGGCTCCGATTGCGATACTTATGGTTTTCTAATTTTCAACGGCATTTCGTGATTCAGGTGACTAAGAGAATTGCTGATTAATAAAAAGAGGTCCACTATCCTCCTCAGGAAAATCGGAGGTGAATCCAGTAAAGGAGACTTTCGTGTCAATTGTCACCAAGAAAATCAGAGTAGCAGTTAGTTGCAATCATCAGAAGTGGGTGGACCTTGCTACAGTAGGGGCCAGTTTCACCAACTCCGATTAAAAGTTAATCAATGATTAAAGTCATTTTAACCGCCCATCATTGGTCGGTTAAGGATTTAATCATTAATTAACTTTTAATCGGAGTCGGTGAAACTGGCCCTAGGTGAACCAAACTCACTTTCAAGATCCACGACTTGAATTACCTTACCCAGAATTTAAGATGCTTCTGTGGCATTTCCTCCAGCAAAAAACAAGAAGACAAGAAGTCAGTGCCGGATCCAGACAAGGCTTGAGGGGGGGGGCATCCATTACAAAAATCAATATAATGTTATATTTTTCTATTTCATAAGAATATTTGACTCTTGGGGAGGGGGGGCAAGCACTCGTGGCCCCCCTGGATCCGCCACTGCAAGAAGTCCACCAATTGTTGGAGGAAATGCCACAGAAGCATCATCCGGAAGACAAAATTCGACAAAACGGAATGAAGTCATCCAAACTTTGGAAGCAGTACGAGTGATGTCAGCCTGGAGGCTAGACACGAAGGTCGTCGATGAAGAAGGAGAAAATTGCCTAAAGCTTAAAAGACGGGTTGAAGGATCTACGAAGAGTCATTATCCAGGATCGAGGTAAACCCACAACTTGCAAACTTCAAAGGACCCCAAAGACTACATACTAAAATGTTTATTTAAAAATAATCTGGCGCATAAAACTTCTAAGTAACTTTGGAAGAAGTGTAAATGATGTTAGCCTGGACTCATAGGTCGTCAACGAGGAAGGCGAAACATGCCTAAAGCTTAGAAAACAGGTTGAAGGACCTACGAAGAATCATTAGGGTCGAGGTAAACCCACAACCAGCAAACTTTAAAGGACCTCAAAGACTACATACTAAAAAAAGTATTATTAAAAAATAATCTGGCGCATAAAACTTTTAAATAAGACCATTTAAATAACAATCAAAAATTAGATCAGGAATCTCTAAATATCATCAGTGATATTCCCCAATTACTTCAGAAAGATAGAAGATAAGATTAGGTATTATAAGATTAAGATCACGAAAAAGTTAATAACCTTCCTGACCAAAAAGTTATTAAATTCTTTGTCACCTTGTTAAAAGTAAATTCTCTCAGCTTTTCTTGTTTATAAGAAAAGTTTTTCTTTAAGGAAGTAAAGAGGACTTTTTCTAAAAAATTCTCTGAGAACACCATAATCAGAAAACGAGTAACATTTTCATTCAGCCGAATGCAGAAAAAAATATCTAATTACTTGTATCCTGCAAGAACATTCATTAGTGTGCTTTTTCCTGCTCCAGATGGTCCCATAATTGCAGTCAGTTCTCCGGATCTGAATTTTCCGTTGACACATTTTAGAATTGTTTTATAACCTGCAAATAAAATAAATAAAATTGATCTTTATATTTCATTACGTTTCAAAGTCGTGTGTAATGTTCAGTATAATGGGATACCCCCAATACAGTTTATGAAATATTCTTATTAAAAAAAAGAAGGAGGCGTGCGAAAACTCGAGTACAGTTGCACTCTGGATGTAGTGCATCAACGCCTAGAAATGGGAACTTCCGAGTGCATTACTATCGATTCTTTCAAGCAGGTCATTCACATTTTGTACTTCTATATCCATGGACAAAAAGAGGTGCCTATCGAAAGAAAACCGCACCTTCACCTCTATTTCTTTTCTAATCCAAACTCACTGACCTCCTCTATCCTCTTCATTGTTTCAACCTTCCTTGTAAATCGTTTTCATAGACTACAACTCTGTGTGTGGGTATCCATACACAAAGTTGAAGACGCTTAAGATATATTGTCGTTTATTTTCTCTACCTTCAGAGTATCACCTTTAAAAGTTGTACCAGGATTTTTTTTATCTTGCATGGAATTTATTGACCATAAATTGAATAACTGATTAAGAAAACCCTTTTGTGGATTTTTTAGAATTCACAAGTCATTTATTTTTCAATTTAAATTCATTTTTGAAATTGACAATACTTTTTTTGACTTTGCAAAATACAATCCTTTCTCTATGAGGAGGAAGTGGTAAAATAAAAAGTTTTTTGGAAGATCAATAGGATCAACTTTTCTGCTTTGAAAAAACAGTAGAGTTCATTTTTGAAACTTTTAAAGCAAGTTATAAGTTTCTGCAGCTATTTCTAAACACGAGCCTAACAATAGGTCTCTGGGGTTAGCAGAAGTATGGTCAATCTTAAAATAAAGATTGTATAATTATATACATTTCTATAGTTATGAAATATGTTTTGTAGTACTTTTATTTATACACAACTATTCTGATATGATTTAGAACTACTGAATTTAAATTAAATTGAATTTTCAGATTGGTAACTGGAATGAGAGGGAAGGTCACTTTCTTCTTCCTTAATTTCGTCCCCACTCCGACTCGACACCAGTTAATGCTTAATGGGCAGAACTTCTCAAGTAAACAGTGGGCCCAGGAAGATTACTAACTTCGGGAGTGTGCGCGACTTTTACGACCACGTGTTTCTAACGTCAACCCTTTATTGTACATTTTTATTTCTACGAGTGTTAGTTTTGGGAGTGCCGAAATTTTTTTTAAATTCGGGAAGTGAGTTTTCTGCACCTCAAAAATCAACGGTTCAGGTGATTTCATCTTCTAAAAAAAATTCCAAAAAACAATTTGTATCTGGGCGGTATGTGAGAGAATAATTCGTCCATCAGGACAAACAAAACATCCACCATCTTTTAATTAAAAATGGCTTCTCAAATTAAGAAGCTACTAATACTTATTAAATCACTAGCAGTCTAGTAATGAATTTTCGTATTTACCTCTTTTTCTACCTTCGGACACGCTGAAAGCCAAATTTTTGAATTCTATGTCGACTGGCGGTCTTTTTGGTAAATGTGTAAGAGAAACGGTTGGCTTTTTATTAGGCTCGCCTGGACTAGCACCAACATGATTAGGCACCTTTCGCGCTAAAATTCCACTTGAAATTACTCCCGCTGAACCATTAGTTGCAGCACCATTGCAGGACACGTGTAAATTATTCTGAGAACCCCTGTAAAAAAAGTAATTTTTATTTTCAATTTTATTTTTTTTACATCTCTTAGTAAAACAAGTTGTAGAATTTATTTTTTAAAAAACTATTTCAATTTATCTAAAGAATGAAAAAAATCTTGGCTTCTGTTCAAATTTAGTTGAATCACTTTTAGAACGTAACTCATACAAGAGATAGTAGTTAGCCAAATATTTTTCTTAATGATACAAGCATTGCGGATTCTTTTATCAGATATGTGACAAATTTTTAGGAAAAAAAATGTACAATATTGCAGAGTTCTGTTGAATAATTCAAAGGGATAAAAAAAATTAAATCAGCTTACAATTTTGTCTGAAAATCTATAGATGATTCTCACAAACTTATTAAAAGATTATATTGATTGAATTTCTATTTCTTTATTTTCTGCAAAGATTTCCACGTCAGAGGCGACGGTCAGGATATTTTTATATTTTAATTGGGTTCCTTAACTTTCTATACATTTGAAATATTCTCACGCTGCTTTTTGATTCATATCGATTGAATAATATTTAATCTAGTGACGTCATCAATTGCTGATAGAATTTTTAAGAGATTCTATTTTTATGTTTCGGAAAAAAGGGATATAAAAATAAGAAATTCTCTATTATTGAAAAATATACTATACTGTAGCAATAATTTTATGCTAACTTGTAAGTGGCAACCTTCGGAAAATCCTTTCAAAGCAATTTAATTTCTTATTCCTTTATGAGTTGAGAAATCATCTCTTTTGTCCTTAACGTGACTCAATGGGAATGAGAAAGAAAATTCTATCGCTACTTTCTGAGTCACATTAAAAATTAATTTTTTTATTTTAGTTAATGTTCTTTTTATAATTGTTCATAACAATTTTTTTTCCGTTTTTCTAGAATGAATGCACTTTGATTGGATTTACATAACTGGTTTCAGTCCTGTTTGGAGTAGTTTAAAAAAATGAAACAAAACTTTTTTATACTTTTGTTGTTGGCTAAAGAAAGAGAACAGGATAATTGTAGTGTACGTGTAGGAAAAATTATTTTTTTTACATGAAAGTAAACTGTTTTCAGTCACCATGAAACTTTGTATAAGATGAATGTATAAAATGAAAAATATTAGTTGCTTAAAGGCTACGACCTTAAGGCAATTTGTAATATTACTGTAATCTCTTTATCTATCATTAAAATTCTAGTTACTTTGCCAGTAGGAATGATAAAAGATGTTATAAGAAAGTACATTAACAACTATTATCTGCAACCTAGAAAAATTTTGTTCTTGTAATTACATCATTAGAAATAATCGGACGTCTGAAAATTAATGGTGATATTTGGAGAACAAGAAGTTGGAAAATAATATTTTAGAAGAGAGTTTGTCCTAAATGATACAATTCGCAGTTTTCTGACCTTTGATCTTTTCTCGACATTAGACTATATTTTAATTTTGCTATTTTCTTTGCAATTTTGAGGTTTTCTTCTTTCAAAGTTTTAAACCCTTTCTCAACCTTTGGGGATTTTTTGCGTTCTTCGTTGACGATCTTTGAGTCCAGGCTATCATTTACACTGCTTACAAAATTAGTTATAAAGTTTTATGCGCCAGATTATTTTTTAATAATACTTTTTTTAGTATGTAGTCTTTGAGGTCCTTTAAAGTTTGCTGGTTGTGGGTTTACCTCGACCCTAATGATTCTTCGTAGGTCCTTCAACCTGTTTTCTAAGCTTTAGGCATGTTTCGCCTTACTCGTTGACGACCTATGAGTCCAGGCTAACATCATTTACACTTCTTCCAAAGTTACTTAGAAGTTTTATGCGCCAGATTATTTTTAAATAAACATTTTAGTATGTAGTCTTTGGTGTCCCTTAAAGTTTGCAAGTTGTGTGTTTACCTCGACCTTGGATAATGACTCTTCGTAGATCCTTCAACCCGTCTTCTAAGCTTTAGGCAATTTTCTCCTTCTTCATCGACGACCTTCGTGTCTAGCCTCCAGGCTGACATCACTCGTACTGCTTCCAAAGTTTGGATGACTTCATTCCGTTTTGTCGACTTTTTTCTTCCGGATGATGCTTCTGGGTAAGGTAATCCAAGTCATGGATCTTGAGAGTGAATTTAGTACACCTGTAGCAAAGTCCAGGCTTCTGATTGTCTAGGTAACTTTTGTCACGAAAGCCTTCTTGATGGAGTCATCTCCGATTTTAATTAATTGTTGTAGTGCTCCTATAAATCTTGAGGGGCAGACCATGGTAGGTTCGTATTCTGATGCTTTCTTCTCTATTTATAAGTTAGCGTTTAAACCACTCCTAAGTTGACATTTTTCTCTTCTTCTGATCCTCTTGGTTCCTTTCTGCAAAGTTTCTGATTTGCACTAAAGAGATTTTTGTGAAACAAAGTTTTATCCGGACTAGCAGCGGAACCTAAGGAATAGGATTCTTAGTGTAGATTTCGATTTTATTTTTAGATGGACAATAATTATGAAAGGGATAAAAATTATAATCTTCTGAAAAGCTTTTTCCAAGCCTAATTATCATTCTGATTTCGCCAATACAACAAACAGCAATCAAAAATTAAGAGACTCAATACTTTCGAGTTTTTACTTTTATTGTTCAAGTTATTTTTTTCAACAACTTTCTTCAATTATAATTATTTGACTATGTACGTGAAATATTAAGCATTCTTCAAAGGTTTCTTTTCCTGAACCTTGAATCAATCGATTATTTATGCACGAGAAACTCCCTACGTGGCTCTCGTCGCTTCAAAATAGAATGTATCAACAGTCTTTTCATTTGGAAAGAAGTCTTTTGATATACTTAATAGACATTCTTGATTCATGTCTAAACAAAATTCATTCTCCATATAGAGTCACTTGATAATTAAGCAACACATGATAAAACTTTATTTATCGTAACAGTTTACAGTTCAATTTTTATTTATCACTATTCACTTAAACGATCGTTAATTAAAATTACCGTTTCTTTTAAACTATTATTAATATATTAATTACAAGTACCACTGTTTGTGGTTCTATTGTTTACAACTATTATGATTTATAGCTGAAAACAAAAATTATAAAAACAATGCTGTATTATATTAAATATTGTAGGCAGTAGCCTATAATGATTAGCATTGTTTTTTCTCATATAATGTTTTTGACTATTGGTGTTAATGGTATTGTAATAATTTTATTTTTTTTTTTTTTTGATGAGATAATGATAAAAATTTCCGTGTCAATGACACGATTGTATCGACATTCACATAATTTTTAGAATCAGTTCCTCTTATATAAGAAATATTTTTTTTATCATTGATTGATTTTTTCGGTCAGATAACTTTAATGAAACGAAAACTGAAGCAGAACATATATATTTTAATTATTATTGTCATTATTATTATTGATAAAATCTATGATATTTTTAAGTGATTTTTCGACAATTATGAAATATCAATTCAATAAAATTGACAATACAATCAATTATACATTCAAGTGTTTTACAAAAAATATAGTTCTAAATAGAAATAACTAATTGATTATAAATTTTATCTCATCACTATAATCGTCAATTCGTCAACTTATTTGAATCGAGAGAAAAAAATTGTTTTTCGAAATTAAATTAATGCTTTTATAATTGATTTATTTCTTGACACACATTTTAAGTAATAATTAGGTATTATTTTTGATTTGTAAATTAATTGTCGGAACTTTTGAAAAATTTCTTTCGGTTCGAAATTTGTAGCAATTGTTGGAGTCCATTTATTTTTTAGGAATAATTTTTTTTCTAGTTTTAAAATTCCTTTTTAGTGTCAACACTTTTTCTATTGTATCCAAAAGAGTTCGGAGGGGGCTAAAATCGTTCATGTCCTTGACAATTCAAAGTCACTTGAAAATTTGCCTTGTTCACTTTTACATTCTTTTTTTTTGTCGAAACTAATATGAAGGCGCATAATCTGCACAAGTGAAATGTAAACTAATCCTCTAGGAAGATGAATAGAATTTTCTGATCGAACAATAAGTGGATTCTATAAATAAATATGAAAATTAATTTTTTTTTAAATTTTCAATTTGTTTGAATATTTTTCGAATAAACAATTTAATTCACACTGTCGACAAGAATTTCATTCAATTCATTCATTTAAATTAATGTTGAATTTAAATTTGTTTCTAATTAACATTAATAATGCACGTTCGTGATTCTTTCGATTTTCTTCAATTTCAGACAATCATTGTATTAATATGATGACTTTAATGATTTTAAATTTGCCCTGAATTTATAGAAGAAAATAAATTCTTTTTCATTTTATTTATATTTTGAAATTTTTATGGAAACGAAAGAAAATTGAGATTTTTTTTTAATAAGGGAAAAAGTAATTGAGAAATATTTGACGAAAAAGTTGGAAGGGAATTTTGATGGAGATGATAATTACCCGTGCATTGCATTATTGAGATTTTCAAGATGCAACGTTGGCGGTGGCGATCTAATTGCAACTTGATTGTCTCCTTGATTACTGGCACTGGCTGTAAATTGCACTTGATCAAAAGCGAGAAATTTAGTTCCACCACCTGACCCAAGTGTCAGATTCTTCAAATCTGCCATTTTCCGCTGACCCTAATTCTGTAAAATTAATTGAAAAATAATTCGTTAGTGAAAGGAAAAATTAAATTTTCATTCCTGCTGAATAAAAAAATTGTTTTTTTTATTTCATACAAGTAAGACATTATTTACGTATATTTTTTGTATAATTATTTAAAAATTTGTTATATGCATAAAAAGTGTACAAAATTAATAAAAAATGAAAATGTAATAAAATTTTAATTGAAAATAAATTACTTGTCTATAATTAACAAATAAATATTTATTTCTATCAAATAATTTCTATTTGAGTCAATTAAATGGTATTTGCTTCATATGTTACTTAAATATTGGTTCAGATGCAATTTATTTCAAACAAAATATGATTTAGATAAAAATTATTTGATCCAGGTAAATAGTTATTTGATAATAAACAAGTAATCTATTATTTGAAACAAATAAATTCTATTCAGTGTAGATTTTCAGTAAAGAAATTATTTTTAGCTAGTATTTTTTTTTATTAAAATTGTGATTAGGTATATCTTGAAATTTCTAAATTCAATTATTAAGAACTTGAATAATTTTGTTAAATAAATATTTAAATATTTCTCATTTGTTTTTTCGAGGGAAATAAAATAAAAAATTTTCAATTTAAATAATTCTGAAATTTAATAATTTCTAAAATTACAACTATAACCCTTCAAATATTATTTAAACACAAAAATTCAATTTATTATAATAATATTGTAACTGTCAATTAAAAAATTCCCAGACAATTGAAATTTGATAAAATAATCTATTTAAAATAATTGAAATTTGGTAAAATCTTTTTAAAATAATTAAAATTTGGTAAAATTGTTAAAAGATAATTGAATTTTGGTAAAATCTTTTTAAAATAATTGAAATTTGGTCAAATTATTTTAAAATAATTGAATTTTGGCAAAATTTTCGTTCCTAATTTTACACAATTGATTTTTAATTACAATTTTTGAAAATTCAATTATTTGCAAAAAATTTGCAATTAAAATTCTTCAAAAGTTGATTTTCCAAAAATTATAATAAAGTACTTCAAAAATATTTTTTATACTAAAAATGTTGTAATTTGTTGCAATATTTAAAAGAAAAGTCGAAAAAGTCGTAATTTTTGAAAATAAGTTGTAAAAGTTGCATTTTTTTAAAAGTAGTCGAAAAAATCGAAAACGTCATAATTTCCGAAGACTTGTAGTGATAATTTTTCCATTTAAAATGGAAATTTATATTTCGTTAACAAAAAGTAGTTTTACGAGGTAATTTTTCTTCTTTTTTTAAACTTGATAAAAAAATTGTTCGTCATTAAGAAAATGTAGTTACTTTTTAAGGAGAAAAATAAATATAATTCATTCAAGCTTAGTAATTTTATTTTTAATTAGGCAACGTTTTTCTGATGATGAAAATGAAATTATATTAAAATTTGAATTTAAAAGAGTAAAAAAACAGAAATTTCCATAGTCATTGCTGTTAAATAAAATTATAAACGAAAAAATTTCTTTGATTTAAAACAAAGTTCATACTCCAAAACAATGAATATAATTAGAATTTTCAATGAAAATGTCCATTATTTATAAGACACTCTATATATATTTTTTTTTCTCCAATGTGCTAAATGTAAATTAAGTTACATATCTCACGTTGTTGAATATTTTAAAATACAATGTAGAATAAAACAAAATTTTCCCTGAATCCAGTTTCATCTTATTTTTCTTCTAAAATTTTTTTCCATCAGAAAAATTGATAAAAGGAAATTCAATTAAAAAAAACTAAATAAAAAATAAAAATTTACTCGAAAATTGATTTGTTTATAAAAAAAAAAGAAACACAATTATTACTGTTGGATTTTTCTTGCATTTAAAACATTTTTAAAATTCTCACTGCAAATTTAAAATTATTTTAATTAAAATTTTAAATTTTAACTAGTGGAAAAATAATTTCATAGCGTAAAGTAAATATTTATTGATAGGATATTAATAATTGTAATTAGTTTTTCTTTTTATAACAATCAATTATACAAATATTGAATATTAAATGGTGAAAGCAATATTTACAATTGTAAGATTAAACTGTATAAAAGAGTATATGACATAAAATGAATCTACAATCAAGCAATCATACATTTGTGCACGCTTAACAATTACCTCGAACTTTAGAGCGAACAAAATAGTAATCTAATGCCGACAGTTTATTTTCTATTAACTATTTGTGTCAAATGACTTTAGGTTTTTATTAAAAAAAAATTTAATTGCACAAATTAAAAATCCAGCAGAAGTAAGAAAGCTTCTTTCTTACTATTTATAAAATGATAAAGAAAAGAAGAAAAAATATTATTTATTTAAAATAGATAATTAATATTATTTAATTGTCTTTTTAATTATAATTTAATAAATCGTTGATACTGCTGCTGCCATTGTTTTATTCAATTCGGTGAGTTTTTATTAAAAATTTGTAATTTTAAGAATATTTTTAAAGATGATAAAATTCTTGTCAGGAATTGAATTATTTTTTTTTAAATTTTAATAAAATTCTTTGCAAAAATTCAATTATTTTCAAAAATTCTAATAAAATTCTTAAAAAAAATTCAATGATTTTGATAAATAATAAAATTTATCGCAGGAATTCAATTATTTTTAATAAAATTTTAAATGAATTTATAAATTTCAAGAAAAATGAATTGAAAAATGATTCAATTTTGAAAGAATTACTTTTGTAATTTTTAAAAATACTTCATTAAATTTCAAGAATGCGTTACATTGAAATCATTTGAAATATTTTAATTCCTGTAGACAAAATAAATTCGGTATTTTAATATTTATTTTAAAAAAATTTTCCATTTTTGAATGTAATTAAGAAATTATAAAAAAAATTGAGTCGTCAAGTTTAATTCATTATTCAAAGTTAAAAGAGAAAAATTTTTAATTAAAATTTCGAAAAACTAAAAAGTTGTGAAGAAATTTTTGTTTTATAAAAAGTTAATAACAAAGAAATTGAAAAAAGGAGTAAAATTATTTTCTAAATAGTCGCTATAAACAAAGTGGAATGGCACCGGAAGTGAAATAAATGGCATTAAAACAATTGAAGTCAATTGTAATACCTTCAACAATAAGTCTTCTTTGTCACATGGTTCTGAGTTACCATGAATGTTGAATAAAAGGATTTCCTGTATCATTTTCTTTCAATACTTAATAAGTTCATCCTATTTGTCATATATATATATATATATATTAAGGACAAAGAAAAAGGATCTGTATTCTTAAAAAATTGTTGTTTTCATCGCACTACGCAAATTAATTCCTATATAATTTTTTGTTTATTATTATTATTTTTGACATTAATTAATTAATTTTTAATTTTTTAATAATTTTAATACATAGGTAATGTAAGTGGTAAACATAACAATTTCGATTATTAATAGCGAATTTTGATAATTATTGGGTGAATAATAACCAATTAAATTCATAAAAAATTAATGCAATTTTGTAAATTTATTTGTTATTTCAATTGATAATTAATTTGTGATATTATTGGTGATAGTTAAATAACTATATATTACGATTTATAACATTCAATTCATTTTTTATTTTAATTTACTATACTATAACTATATAGTAATTCATTTATTATTATTATTGACTATAACTTTTCTATAATTACATACTATTATATTATTTTACTATATAATTATTAATTAGTTGACACAGGAAATTAAGAAATTTTATTAAAAGTACTGGAAAAAAAATTAAATTTTTATATAATTCATAAGAAAATTATAAATTCTTCATTTTTGTGTCTTTTTTGTTTATCTTAAAATTTTGAAATTACCAAGATCTTGAATAGGAAAACTTCAATTTATTTTATTTTTGACAGTAATTTATTTTCAATATTTTAGAAACCTATTATTATTTATTAAATTAAAATTATTTTTTTAAAATTTTAATTCAAATTCTTTTAAAATTACTTGAAATTTTCAATTTATAGAGTTTAATCATAAAAAATAATTATTGATTTAGGGAAGAATTTTATTAGATAAAAATTCCAGAAAATAATTGAATTTTGTAAAAATTACAATTAATGAATTTAAAAATTTATTAAATAATTGAATTTTAAAAGGTTTCAATTTGAAATTTTAGAAAATTTCAATTTAATTATTGAAAATAATTCGTTTCAGAGAAGAATTTTAGTAAAAAATTCCAGAAAATAATTTTATTTTGCAGAAGTTAGAAATAATTGAATTTTGAAAAGGTTTGAAATTGAAATCTTTGAACGTGTTAACAAAGGTGTTCGTGAAGGCCGCAGTCATGCCACTGTGAAGGGCAGCAAAATTTTAGAGTTCGTCTGATGAAACGTGGATTTTACTACTTAAAGTTTCTTGGCCCGCGTGTCATTTATTTCCACACCAAAAACGATTGATATATCATTGATATTAATTTTGCAAATATTAAAAAACTCTCGTCTCTTTATCTAACATAAAATTCAATGATATTCCCCAACCAAAATTGTAAACAGTTCCAAAACTTATATAATCTGCAATTTTTATGATTTTTTTTGTCCCGTATACTGAAAAAAAAATTAATTGCAACTTAAAATTAAAATTAATTTAATAATTAATAAAATTAAATGGAAAAATAACAGAATATCAAATTAGTTTATATATTTACTAATTTTTTTTTATTTTAATAATTTATTACACTTTTGTAACAAAAAATAAAATTTTTAAAAAATTGTAGAAAGAAAAGTTTAATTTCTTTCTTTTTTTTTACTTTCTGTATAATAATAATTATTATTGTCTTGAAAGAGGTCGTAAAAGAAAAATCGATTGGCAAAATTATATTATTATTTAAATTATATTATTATTATTATTATATTCACTTTTCAGACAATAAATCACCTAAATATGAGAAAAACTTATTTTTACTATCAAATGTGTAGTTAAAATCAGTAAATTTGATACGATTATCAAACAAGAAAATAAATTGAAACAATCTTTAATATGTACTCTCATCTCTTGTTTTTTTATCTACACTCGAATTATCATAAAAAATAAATAATTTTCTATACTAGATAATATTACTAATTTTCTATTATAAATAAAAAAAATTTTTTGTTAAATGAATAGAAATAAATAATTTAATTAAGATAAATAATAATAATAATAATAATAATAATTTAATAAACAATAAATATAATGGTGAATTTTTCTATAAAACAATTTTTCTAATTTTGTTTCTATTTTTCTAATTCTAATTCTAATTTCCTAATATAATTTAATTTAAATAATAAAAATATTAGATTATCGAAAATTCAATAATAAATTATTTTTTGTAATTTGAAAAAGAAAGGAAAATCAATTTAAAAAGAAATTGCTTCTTATGTTTTATCCGTTGAAAGTATTTTTCAGTGATAAAAAAAAAACCTGGACGTGAAAACAAAGAAAATGATCGATATGAATAATTACTTGAAACGAAAAATAAATATTGAATCAAAGAAGAAAATTTCCTGACATTAAAAAATATCTCGAGAATTTTGTAAAAGAAAAAAAATTCTCTTATATAACTTTCGTTCTTTGTTAGCAAAAAAGAGAATATTATATAAATAAGTAAGACATTTATTTTTAATTACTGATAAATAACTATTAAACATATAATAAATAAATTACAACATAATAAGAAAAATTTACACTAAATTTAATTTTCTATTATTTTAATTATTTTTGTAATTATTTTTTATCGTCTTTTATTTTAATAATTATTAATTATTATTTTTAATTATTATAAATAAATATTTTTTATTCTAAACTGAAAAATAAGTAAAAAAAATAAATTAACGTAACAATGAAAATAATATTAATATTAATTTTTTTCGTAAAAAATTCGAGGAAAATTCAAATGATAATTATTATTATTAATTTTTTTATTTTATTTTTTTTTTGTAATTACTTTTGGTCGAGATAATTCTATACCTACTGAAAAATAATGAAAATAAATAAATTAACGTAATAAGAAAATAAAATTAATAATAACAAATTCCAAAAGTAAAAATAATAGTTAAAAGAGTAAAAAAATATTTCCCTATTTTTAGGGGATTTTTTATTATTTTAATTGTTTTTGTAATTATTTTTATCGTGATAATTCTATACTAAAAAGTAATTAAATAAATTATAACTTAATAATAATAATAATAATAATAATAAATAAATGAAATAAAAAATAAACAAGAACTAAAAATTGCGCTTCTGATTAAATTTCTTTGTAAACCTCATTTGTTTATCAGCTTTTGCATACATAAGAACAGTTTGCTTTTGAATATAGCCAGACTTTGTTGAAGGCAATTACAATGTCAATTTTATCTTAGTGTCTATTTCATTTTAATCTCGACTATCAAGGTAAAAAAAGAAAACATTTTCCGAAAAGAAATTTTTCTAAATTTATTTACATAAAATTTTTGTCAAAATCCTCAAACATGATCTCATTTTCTAAAAATAAATTCAGCCCTCTGATTAGATGACTGCTACTGTATACTTTGTATCCTAGAAAGATGTGATTTTCTCTCAACGTATCCTTAATAAATTCACTGGGAAAATTTTTTTTATTTTTAATCCAAAAATAATCACAACCAAAAAAATATTTTTAATTCATTATAATTATTTTGAATCAAACTTATGTGTTGAATCAAAATTATAATAATTAAAATAAATTTGATTTATTTTGTTTTTTATATGTTTTTATATTACATATTATGTTTAATTAATTAAGTTCGATAAAATAATTTTGATAATAAATATTTCTCGGTAGAAGTTTTTGGAGAAATAGAGAAGAATACCCCTTTTAATATTTTAATAAATTAAAAAAGATATTTTCGAAAAAATATGAAAAATTACCTTAGAGTTGAACCTAAATTGCAACGCTGCTGTTACATTGAGATTTCACTAAATTGGAAACTATTTGTTTTAAAAAAGCACATGTGTATCCAAAGGGAGTATATTCACATAATGAAACACTCGCGATTATGCACAACCGAGACAATGACATCAATAGCTCGACTTGCTTTGGGGAAATTAAAAAATATTTGTAAATAAAAAAAATAACAACGAAGCAATTTAACATTCGCGCGGATAAAAAATAATAGAAAATAATCCAACAGTCAGATAGGAAAAAAGCATCGCCCGTGGCGTGCCTTTCAAAATCAGCTGTAGAACTGCGTTGCCACCGAGTACACTGACAGAATCAGAAATTTAAAATGAACGAAATGAACTATACTCACGAGCCGAGCCAGTAACGTAGGCAAGAGGTTCAAAGTTGCGAGGGAGCCCTCTCGCTTACTCTTTCTCCTCTCTCTAGAAATCTTTTTGTTGGAGAATAAAAGATATACTTATATCTTATACACAAGTCCATTGTGAGGAGCCTTCCTTTTTTCCCTTTTTTCTCTCGAATCCGCGATGGATTCGATGATTCATCATGTCAAATATTTTTTTATACTTTAATTGGAATATAACAAAAGAAAAAAATACTAATCTCGAAGAACTAATGGATTCAAAAAATTTTCTCTCTGATTTTTAACGTTCTTTCTTTCTTTCTTCTTCATTTCAAATAGTCAAAATTTCCATCGAAATTTACAAAAAAGGTAGTTCTTATAATTTTCGTTTGTAATAATTAGCCAGTAATCAGTAATTTTCCTCAAAAAAGGTGAAAAGGAGAATTTTTTTTCCTCAAAAAGGGGACAAAAATTTATTTGTTTATAAAACTTGCATATATAATTCAAATTTTGTATCATATAGCTTCTATATAGAATTTTTTAATATTGATTCAATTTTAATCAGAGTTGCCACAAAAATTTAATTTTTTTTTCCCTGACTTTCCCCTGCGATTTCTAGCCAATTTTTAACTTTTTCTCTGACCTTAAAGAATATTCTGATTATTGAATCAGAATAATAATTGAATTTTGCAAATTTTTCTGTAAAAATTTTATTATTTATGGAAAAAATTGAATTTTTTTGGGGAACTTTATAATAAAACTTTAAATAATTGATTTCTTTGAAAAAATTTATGCCAATTCTTTAAATAATTAAATTTCTAGAGAAATTTGTGAAAGTAATTGAATTTTGCAAATTTCTCGGTAAAAATTTTATTATTTTCATAAATAATAATTGAATTTTAAAAGGTTTCAATTTGAAGTTTTAGAAAATTTATAATTTGAATGAATGTCATTAGAAATATTATTACCTAAAATTTGTCTTTTGAAAAATTTTAATTCAAATTCTTTCGAAACTATAGTTGAATTTTAGTAAAAAAAAATTTCAGGAAGTAATTGAGTTTTGAACTATCAGTTACAAATATTTATCCATTTTAAAAATAATTGCCTTTTGGAAAAGGTTTCAAATTAAAGTCTTTGAAGATTTGAATTTTTAATTGACAATTGATTTCTTTAGTTAAAAATTTGAATATTAATTGAATTTTATAAGAATTGCGTTTAAAATTTTCATAAATAATAATTGAACTTTAAAATGCTTCACTTTGAAGTTTTATAATTGACGAAAATGAATAAAAAATTGTAGGTTTGCAATAATTTGGATTCGTTGTTTGCCTCAATTTGATATATCCTTGGAAAAATTGTGAAAATATACCAAGTGAGCAATTTTGGAATAATTTGTAAAAGAATTTTTTCGCTATTATGTATGTATAAACTATAAATTTGAAGTCAAAGTTGAAAATTGAAAATTGAAAATTGCTTTGCAATCATTGGCTGACCGTATATTCGTTAAGCATTGTATATACATAGTTAAGAAAACTATTCACAAGTGTGATGATTTTTAAATTTTCGAGTGCACAATATTCAGGCCGTGTCAATTGAACCTCACACGTGGGACGGGAGTAAATGATGAATTACACGACTGTCACTTTAAATTTCGTTCATTCGTTTTTTTCCAATTAAAGAGAAATTTCAATAAAGCACCCAATACTGCTTATATACTTTTAACTATACCCCTGATGACGGTAAAATTCACCATTTCTAATATTTCTGATACCAACTAGATATTAAATTTATTTCATTTTTTCTAAGAATATCAAATTGAGACAAAAAACGTACAAAATTTCAGAGAAACAGTTTTTCTATAAGAATATCAAAATTGAGACAAAAAACGAATAAAAATGGGAAAAATTTCGTGAACTGAAAATATTTCCTAGGAAAATAAAAAAGAATAATTTAGAAAAGAAAAAAAATACGCGACTGTCGATAGATGTAAGAATTGCCTCTTCCCAAGAATCATGATGACTATCAAAGTGTGTAGAGCGTACATCATAAGAGCAATACTAAGTAATATATAATTTTCTTGCAAAACAGCATCCTGTCTTATTATAAAGCGAAACACCAATTATGTGAAATCGACTAGAGCTGTTCGACTGCTGTTTATCTTTATACATATATACGAATACGAATGTTTTGCTCTGTGGATTTTATTACAAGCTGCGGTCAATTTTGCCATGCTCTATAGAAGATTTATTTCCTTTCTCTACTCACAATCAGAATCAGCGCAGCGTCTCAATATATATTCATGGAAAATATCAATTTTTCGATCACTTCTAGAGAAACTGTTACAAAAAAAAAAATAAATGCTTCATTCATGTTCTCCTTTTCTTAATTTTTTAACAACGTTTTGTCAGACAATTGGAATAATTTCACTATGGAGTGTTATTAAGATTACATGCACTTTCTTTATGGATATATTATATAGAAAAATAATTTTTTTTATGAATTACTTCAACATTTTAGTTGAAATTGGAACAAACGTGAATTCTTTGTCTTGCGTCCTAATAATTTCTAAAGACGTTAAACTAAAGTGTGCAACCACAAAAGTACTAAAAGTTCTTGACCATTCTGGCTTATACTTATAAGTTATTAAATGGCTTTATAGCCCCAGTTGTAAAGTGTTTTTCCTCGAATCCTTGGTACTGACAGATTGGAGAATATGAATTTCAAGAAATTGTTCTACATTATTTGGAAAAAGTTTTAGTATATTTATAGAAAAAACTTAAAATAGTGACTAATAGCGACTTCTTTTTCTCTTATAGAAGCAGAAATAATTAATTGTTATTTCTATAACTATAGAACGCTTTATAGTTTTTATTAATAAAATAATTTACTAGCACTAATAGAATGTATAATAAATTTTATTACAAGTTTACAAAACCGACTGAAGACAATGGAATAATGAAAATATTTAGTTAAATAATAGAACAGAAATAAATCTGTTTCATTTTTCAAAATTCTAACTATTTGTAAATTCTCCAAAAAATTTTATTATTTTCTCAAATTTTTTACTAAAATTATATGTCTTCAATTTCAGAAGAATTTGAATTTAAATTTTTCAAAAAACTAAGTTTAACAAATGAAAATTTATAATAAAATTCAATCAAAATTTAACATTTCTAAAATTTCAAATTGAAACCTTTTGAAATCCAATATGTTAGAAAACAAAATTTTTAACCCGTTGCCTGTTTCCGACCCACTCGTATGGGTCGTGTTCATTTTCACTCAAAATAAATATAATTTGTATATATAAAATAAATTGATAGATATTTTTCTTTATATCATATCAATATTATATAAGACATTATAAGGGTCATTAATGCTATTTTTTACAATAATTGAATAATTAGTTATAATTTAAATATATTATACTATTTGAAAAAGTATCAGATTCCGCTGGACATTTTGGGACAATCATGTTGTATTTTCCTCAAACAGTTAAGGGGTTAAGTAATTTCAACAAAATTTTCAATACAATTAAAAAAAAGAAAAGTTGGACACAATTGTCAATTAAAAGTATTAAAAATTCAGATTTTTAAAGATTTAATTTAGAACCTTTTCAAAAATTAAATTATTTTTCAAAATTGCAAGTATTTGCAACCTCTCCGCTTTTTAATTATTTTCTGGAATTTTTTACTAAAATTATTTAATTTCAGAAGAATTTGAATTTAAATTTTTCAAAAAACACCAAAAAATAATTGAATTTTGGAAAAATTACAATAATTAATGAACAATTTTACTTAAGAATTTGAAAAAAAATTGAATTTTATGAGAGTTGTGTTTAAAATTTTCATAAATAATTGAATTTTAAAAGGTTTCAATTTGAAGTTTTAGAAAATTTATAATTTGAATGAATGTCATAAGAAATATGTATTGTTAAAATTTGTTTTTTGAAGAATTTTTATTCAAATTCTGACAAAGTTCATTAAAAAATTTCAAATCAATTTGTTCACAATTCAATTTTTACTAAAAATTTTGATTATTTGAAAATTCTTCAATTAAATATGTTAGAAAATAATAAGTTTCAAAAAATTTGAATTACAATATTAAAAAAACAAATTCGACAGAATTATTAATTAGAAGTATTAAAAATTCAGATTTTCAAATTAAAGTCTTTGAAAATCTGAATTTTTAACACTTTTAATTAACAATTTTTTTCATTTAAAAATTGTAATTCATTTTTTTTTTTTAAATTATTTAAAGTTTTTTATTTTCTAAGATACATTTAATTAAACATAATTGCTAAATAATCGCAACTTTAAAAATTTAATTGCTAACAAATAAATTTCAAAAAATTTTCAAAGAACTTTGTCAAAAATTATTGGAAATAATTTATTCAAAGAAGAATTTTAGTTAAAACTTTCAGAAAATAATTGAATTTCAAAAGGTTTCAATTCGAAGTTTTTGAAAATTTAAAATTTGAATGAATTAAATTATAAATTTTGTTGAACTTAATTTTGAAAAATTTTAATGGGAATTCTTTTTAAATTAATTAAATTTTGGAGAAGTTACAATTAGTTTTACTTCAATTATACTTCAAAATTTAAAAATAATTGAATTTCATGAGCGTTACGTTTATAATTTTCATAAATAATTCAATTTCAAAAAGTTTCAATTTCAAAATTTTAGAAAATTTCAATTTTATTTTTAAAAATAATTGATTCCAAAAAGAATTTTCCTGAAAAATTCCAAAAAATAATTGTATTTTCGGAGAAGTTAGCAATTAGCAATAGCAATTTTTAGTAATAATTGAATTTTGAAAAGGTTTCAAATTAAAATTTTTTAAAACCAGAATTTTTAATACTTTTAATTGAAAATAATTTGTTTCATTAGTTAAAAATTTGAAAAATAATTGAATTTTATAAGAATTGCGTTTACAATTTTCACATATAATTGAATATCATGCAAAAGGTTTCAATTTGAATGTTTAAAAATATTAAAATTTTGA